GCTCCAGTCCCCAGGCCGGGACTGCAGCTCCAGTCCCCACGCCGGGACTGCAGCTCCAGTCCCCAAGCCGGGACTGCAGCTCCAGTCCCCAAGCCGGGACTGCAGCTCCAGTCCCCACGCCGGGACTGCAGCTCCAGTCCCCAACCCGGGACTGCAGCTCCAGTCCCCACGCCGGGACTGCAGCTCCAGTCCCCACGCCGGGACTGCAGCTCCAGTCCCCACGCCGGGACTGCAGCTCCAGTCCCCACGCCGGGACTGCAGCTCCAGTCCCCACGCGGGACTGCAACTCCAGTCCCCAGGCCGGGACTGCAGCTCCAGTCCCCACGCCGGGACTGCAGCTCCAGTCCCCACGCGGGACTGCAGCTCCAGTCCCCAGGCCGGGACTGCAGCTCCAGTCCCCAAGCCAGGACTGCAGCTCCAGTCCCCACCCGGGACTGCAGCTCCAGTCCCCACGCCGGGACTGCAGCTCCAGTCCCCACTCCGGGACTGCAGCTCCAGTCCCCAAGCCAGGACTGCAGCTCCAGTCCCCACTCCGGGACTGCAGCTCCAGTCCCTACGCTGGGACTGCAGCTCCAGTCCCCAAGCCGGGACTGCAGCTCCAGTCCGCAAGCCGGGACTGCAGCTCCAGTCCCCACTCCAGGACTGCAGCTCCAGTCCCCACTCAGGACTGCAGCTCCAGTCCCCACGCCGGGACTGCAGCTCCAGTCCCCAAGCCGGGACTGCAGCTCCAGTCCCCACGCCGGGACTGCAGCTCCAGTCCCCACGCCGGGACTGCAGCTCCAGTCCCCAAGCCGGGACTGCAGCTCCAGTCCCCAAGCCGGGACTGCAGCTCCAGTCCCAACGCTGGTACTGCAGCTCCAGTCCCCACTCCAGGACTGCAGCTCCAGTCCCCAAGCCGGGACTGCAGCTCCAGTCCCCAAGCCGGGACCGCAGCTCCAGTCCCCAAGCCGGGACTGCAGCTCCAGTCCCCAAGCCGGGACTGCAGCTCCAGTCCCCACGCCGGGACTGCCGCTCCAGTCCCCAAGCCGGGACTGCAGCTCCAGTCCCCAAGCCGAGACTGCAGCTCCAGTCCCCACGCCGGGACTGCAGCTCCAGTCCCCACGCCGGGACTGCAGCTCCAGTCCCCACGCCGGGACTGCAGCTCCAGTCCCCACTCCGGGACTGCAGCTCCAGCTGGGACTGCAGCTCCAGTCCCCACGCCGGGACTGCAGCTCCAGTCCCCACGCCGGGACTGCAGCTCCAGTCCCCAAGCCGGGACTGCAGCTCCAGTCCCAACGCTGGGACTGCAGCTCCAGTCCCAACGCTGGGACTGCAGCTCCAGTCCCCACTCCAGGACTGCAGCTCCAGTCCCCAAGCCGGGACTGCAGCTCCAGTCCCCAAGCCGGGACCGCAGCTCCAGTCCCCAAGCCGGGACTGCAGCTCCAGTCCCCAAGCCGGGACTGCAGCTCCAGTCCCCGCGCCGGGACTGCCGCTCCAGTCCCCAAGCCGGGACTGCAGCTCCAGTCCCCAAGCCGGGACTGCAGCTCCAGTCCCCACGCCGGGACTGCAGCTCCAGTCCCCACGCCGGGACTGCAGCTCCAGTCCCCACGCCGGGACTGCAGCTCCAGTCCCCACTCCGGGACTGCAGCTCCAGTCCCCAGGCTGGGACTGCAGCTCCAGTCCCCAAGCCGGGACTGCAGCTCCATTCCCCACGCCGGGACTGCAGCTCCAGTCCCCAACTTGGGACTGCAGCTCCAGACCGCACGCCGGGACTGGAGCTCCATTCCCCACGCCGGGACTGCAGCTCCAGTCCCCACGCCGGGACTGCAGCTCCAGTCCCCAAGCCGGGACTGCAGCTCCAGTCCCCACTCCGGGACTGCAGCTCCAGTCCCCACGCCGGGACTGCAGCTCCAGTCCCCACGCCGGGACTGCAGCTCCCGTCCCCAAGCCGGGACTGCAGCTCCAGTCCCCAAGCCGGGACTGCAGCTCCAGTCCCCACGCCGGGACTGTAGCTCCAGTCCCCAAGCCGGGACTGCAGCTCCAGTCCGCAAGCCGGGACTGCAGCTCCAGTCCCCACTCCGGGACGGCAGCTCCAGTCCCCACGCCGGGACTGCAGCTCCAGTCCCCAAGCCGGGACTGCAGCTCCAGTCCCCAAGCCGGGACTGCAGCTCCAGTCCCCAAGCCGGGAATGCAGCTCCAGTCCCCACTCCGGGACTGCAGCTCCAGTCCCCTCGCCGGGACTGCAGCTCCAGTCCCCACTCCGGGACTGCAGCTCCAGTCCCCAAGCCGGGACTGCAGCTCCAGTCCCCACGCCGGGACTGCAGCTCCAGTCCCCAAGCCGGGACTGCAGCTCCAGTCCCCAAGCCGGGACTGCAGCTCCAGTCCCCACGCCGGGACTGCAGCTACAGTCCCCAAGCCGGGACTGCAGCTCCAGTCCCCACGCCGGGACTGCAGCTCCAGTCCCCACGCCGGGACTGCAGCTCCAGTCCCCAAGCCGGGACTGCAGCTCCAGTCCCCACGCGGGACTGCAGCTCCAGTCCCCACGCCGGGACTGCAGCTCCAGTCCCCACGCCGGGACTGTAGCTCCAGTCCCCAAGCCGCAGCTCCAGTCCCCAAGCTGGGACTGCAGCTCCAGTCCCCACGCCGGGACTGCAGCTCCAGTCCCCACGCCGGGACTGTAGCTCCAGTCCCCACGCGGGACTGCAGCTCCAGTCCCCACGCCGGGACTGCAGCTCCAGTCCCCACGCCGGGACTGCAGCTCCAGTCCCCAAGCCGGGACTGCAGCTCCAGTCCCCAAGCCGGGACTGCAGCTCCAGTCCCCAAGCCGGGACTGCAGCTCCAGTCCCCACTCCGGGACTGCAGCTCCAGTCCCCTCGCCGGGACTGCAGCTCCAGTCCCCACTCCGGGACTGCAGCTCCAGTCCCCAAGCCGGGACTGCAGCTCCAGTCCCCACGCCGGGACTGCAGCTCCAGTCCCCAAGCCGGGACTGCAGCTCCAGTCCCCAAGCCGGGACTGCAGCTCCAGTCCCCACGCCGGGACTGCAGCTACAGTCCCCAAGCCGGGACTGCAGCTCCAGTCCCCACGCCGGGACTGCAGCTCCAGTCCCCAGGCCGGGACTGCAGCTCCAGTCCCCAAGCCGGGACTGCAGCTCCAGTCCCCACGCGGGACTGCAGCTCCAGTCCCCACGCCGGGACTGCAGCTCCAGTCCCCACGCCGGGACTGCAGCTCCAGTCCCCAAGCCGCAGCTCCAGTCCCCAAGCCGGGACTGCAGCTCCAGTCCCCACGCCGGGACTGCAGCTCCAGTCCCCACGCCGGGACTGTAGCTCCAGTCCCCACGCGGGACTGCAGCTCCAGTCCCCACGCCGGGACTGCAGCTCCAGTCCCCACGCCGGGACTGCAGCTCCAGTCCCCAAGCCGGGACTGCAGCTCCAGTCCCCAAGCCGGGACTGCAGCTCCAGTCCCCAAGCCGGGACTGCAGCTCCAGTCCCCACGCCGGGACTGTAGCTCCAGTCCCCAAGCCGGGACTGCAGCTCCAGTCCGCAAGCCGGGACTGCAGCTCCAGTCCCCACTCCGGGACGGCAGCTCCAGTCCCCACGCCGGGACTGCAGCTCCAGTCCCCACGCGGGACTGGAGCTCCAGTCCCCACGCCGGGACTGCAGCTCCAGTCCCCACGCAGGGACTTCAGCTCCAGTCCCCATGCCGGGACTGCAGCTCCAGTCCCCACGCCGGGACTGCAGCTCCAGTCCCCACGCCGGGACTGCAGCTCCAGTCCCCACGCCGGGACTGCAGCTCCCGTCCCCAAGCCGGGACTGCAGCTCCAGTCCCCAAGCCGGGACTGCAGCTCCAGTCCCCACGCCGGGACTGCAGCTCCAGTCCCCAAGCCGGGACTGCAGCTCCAGTCCCCACGCCGGGACTGCAGCTCCAGTCCCCACGCCGGGACTGCAGCTCCAGTCCCCACGCCGGGACTGCAGCTCCAGTCCCCAAGCCGGGACTGCAGCTCCAGTCTCCACGCCGGGACTGCAGCTCCAGTCCCCAAGCCGGGACTGCAGCTCCAGTCCGCAAGCCGGGACTGCAGCTCCAGTCCCCAGGCGGGACTGCAGCTCCAGTCCCCACTCCAGGACTGCAGCTCCAGTCCCCACGCGGGACTGCAGCTCCAGTCCCCACGCCGGGACTGCAGCTCCAGTCCCCAAGCCGGGACTGCAGCTCCAGTCCCCACGCCGGGACTGCAGCTCCAGTCCCCAAGCCGGGACTGCAGCTCCAGTCCCCACGCGGGGACTGCAGCTCCAGTCCCCACGCCGGGACTGCAGCTCCAGTCCCCACGCCGGGACTGCAGCTCCAGTCCCCACTCCAGGACTGCAGCTCCAGTCCCCACGCGGGACTGCAGCTCCAGTCCCCACGCCGGGACTGCAGCTCCAGTCCCCAAGCCGGGACTGCAGCTCCAGTCCCCACGCCGGGACTGCAGCTCCAGTCCCCAAGCCGGGACTGCAGCTCCAGTCCCCAAGCCGGGACTGCAGCTCCAGTCCCCACGCCGGGACTGCAGCTCCAGTCCCCACGCCGGGACTGCAGCTCCAGTCCCCAAGCCGGGACTGCAGCTCCAGTCCCCACGCCGGGACTGCAGCTCCAGTCCCCAAGCCGGGACTGCAACTCCAGTCCCCAAGCTGGGACTGCAGCTCCAGTCCCCACGCCGGGACTGCAGCTCCAGTCCCCAAGCCGGGACTGCAGCTCCAGTCCCCACTCCGGGACTGCAGCTCCAGTCCCCAAGCCGGGACTGCAGCTCCAGTCCCCACGCGGGACTGCAGCTCCAGTCCCCACGCCGGGACTGCAGCTCCAGTCCGCACGCTGGGACTTCACCTCTTGCCTCTCACAGCTCCTGCGTCAGCTCATCCTGCTGATAATCCAGAACGGCAACCACTTCTTCTTTGACGTGCTGCTGCTGGCACGCTCCGCCCAATATGTCGCATCTCCATCAGTCACAACCTCTCACAACCACTTTCCACCCCTCAACACTCCCCCCAATGCAGCTATTACGCCAGCTCAACCTGCTGATAATCCAGAACGGAAATCGATTCTTCTTTGACGTGCTGCTGCTGGCTCGCTCTGCCCTCGCGCCCTACTCGGAGCAGCAGCTCACAGCCAACATTCTCAAGGCGCAACCCAGCATGGGGTCACATGCGTACCTCATTACCTATGCTGGGGCCAAGAAGATGCTTGCTCGCATGCGGCTTAACGTGTAAGTGAGCGATCCCTTTCCATTGCCTCTGCTGCTTGCGCGCTCTGCCCCCTCGCCCTGCTTCGGAGGTGCCTTAGAAAGGGTCTGAGCCCCTTGCGCCCTACTCAGAGCAGCAGCTCACGGCCAACATTCTCAAGGCGCAACCCAGCATGGCGTCACACGCCTACCTCATCTCGTATGCCGGTGCCAAGAAGATGCTCTCCCGCATGCGCCATCGTGAAGGCACGTCCCTCCTCTGCTGCCACGTGCATGTGCACGTCCCTCCTCTGCTGCCATTCTTGGAGCAGCACCCCCATCACCCCCATCACCCCCATCACCCCCATCATCACCCCCATCACCCCCATCATCACCCCCATCAGCCCCATCATCCCCATCACCACCCCCATCACCCCCATCATCCCCATCACCCCCATCACCCCCATCACCCCCATCACCCCCATCACCCCCATCATCACCCCCATCACCCTTATCACCCCCATCACCACCCCCATCACCCCCATCACCCCCATCATCACCCCCATCATCCCCATCACCCCCATCATCACCCCCATCACCCCCATCACCCCCATCACCCCCATCACCCCCATCACCCCCATCACCCCCATCACCCCCATCATCACCCCCATCACCCCCATCATCACCCCCATCACCCCCATCACCCCCATCACCCCCATCATCACCCCCATCACCCCCATCATCCCCATCACCCCCATCACCCCCATCACCCCCATCATCACCCCCATCACCCCCATCACCCCCATCACCCCCATCATCCCCATCATCACCCCCATCACCCCCATCACCCCCATCATCACCCCCATCACCCCCATCATCACCCCCATCACCCTCATCATCACCCCCATCACCCCCATCATCACCCCCATCACCCCCATCACCCACATCCGCCCCCCAACCCCACGTACCCCCTTCCTCCATCCTTCGCCAGTCTCAACATTCGCCTCACTGTTGACTCAATTCTCCCCCCTTTAACCATCACCCCCATCACCCCCATCACCACCAGGCCGATATCAGAGGCACTTTTCACCGTCCCACATCCTAGCAGCAGACCCGCCTCTCTTCAACTCCTTTGTCCTCCCTTCATCGTACTTGCACCTCCATCCAACCCCCATCAATCTCGCGTGCCCCCTCCTTCCACCCTTGTCTCACAATTCGCCTCACTCTTGACTCAACTCTTCCCCTTGTTCCCCCACCCTCTGCTTCCCAACCAGGCCGATATCAGAGGCGTTTTTCACCGTCCCACATGCGCACATCCTAGCAGCGGACCCGCCTCTCTTTGCCTCCCACATGTTCATGTGCCGCCCCAAGCCCTTCATTCTCCCTGCATCCTACTTGCTCCTCCATCCGCCCCCCAACCTCTCATGGTCCGTTCCTTCGTCCCCAGTTTCACAATTCGCCTCACCCTTGACTAAACCCTCCCCCTTGTTCCCCCTCCCTCTGCTTCCCAACCAGGCCAATATCAGAGGCGTTTTTCACCGTCCCGCACGCGCACATTGTAGCAGCAGACCCGCCTCTCTTCAACTCCCAGATGTTCATGTGCCGCCCCAAGCCCTTCATTCTCCCCACATCTCACTTGCACCTCCATCCGACTAGCCTCACGCTTGACTCTACTCTTCCCTCTTTCCCCCAAAACCCCTCTTATCCCCCACCAGGCCGATATCAGAGGCGTTTTTCACCGTCCCACACGCGCACATCCTAGCAGCAGACCCGCCTCTCTTCAACTCCCAGATGTTCATGTGCCGCCCCAAGCCCTGCCGCGTGCCGCCCCTCGACCTCCACTCCTCCTCCCGCCTCTCCTCCGCCTGCCGGGAAACCCTCTTCCTCAGCTTCCCCGGGCACCCCCGAATCAGGGGGAATATTGTGAGGAAGGATTGGGTGAGACAGGCATTGGGGGAAGCAGGAGCTAGGGCTACGATTGCCGTGGATACTGATTGTGGGACACCTGCGCAGTGCCTGATTCGATCTCACCAGGAGATTCTTCAGGTGCCAGGGTCAGGTTCCCAGGTGAATCTCCAGGTGAATCCTCAGGTGAATTTCCAGGTCCCAGGGTTGAGGCCACCTGCAACGGTGCGTGTACTGATGCGATCCATGCCGCCCAAACTGGCCATGTGGCCGACATTCGTGATCGGATTGGCCGAAGACGCCGACCGATTCGTCTCATTAGAACCGGTGCTACAGCAGCAGGGATTCGGAGAGATAGTCAAGGCAAACGGCATTTCAGTCTCCAACACGGATTACCAGGTGGTGACTCACCTGGTGGACAAGGAGCATCGGGCGCGCACCCGAACCACGCCGTGGTGGCAGGAGAAGCAGGCCCGGCCGACCCTGAGCAAGGGCGAGGTGGGGTGCGCACTCTCGCACTACTTCGTCTGGCTGGAAGTCGTGCGAAGGCAGCTCCCATACGCCATCATATTCGAAGACGACGTGCGGTTCTTAACACATTCCTTCAAAGAGGTGTTTGAGCGAGACGTGGCGGAAGCAAACGAGGTGATTACACGGGAGATCAACCCGTTCCGGCCGGATATAGTCTTTCTCGGGAAATCCGGCATCATGACTTCGTTCTACTACCCGAAGCTGTCGCAACACGTGGTGGTTTCCCCGCTCGTGTGGTGCTCGTTCGCGTATATAGTGTCGCTGGAGGGCGCTCGGAAGCTGGTGGAGAGGTTTTTTGTGAACGATCCGGTGGACTCGTACTGGTGGCAGGTGCCTGGGATGCAGTTCTGGGCGTTTGAGCCGTCGCTGGCGGACCATCTGACGGTGAAGAGGAAGAAGAGAGGCAAGGGCGTGCAGTTCGTGAGCAGAGTGCAGGGGACTGACAGCGAGTGGTAGCAACTCCCTTGTCCTCTTCCTCTTTCTCACTCTTCTTTCCTCCCAAAAGGCAGTCAGGCAGGGCACAGACTGATACAGACAACAGGACTGTGGTAGAGTGGGTGGATGGACTCGTACTGGTGGCAGGTGCCTGGGATGCAGTTCTGGGCGTTTGAGCCTTCGCTGGCGGATCATCTGACTGTGAAGAGGAAGCGGTGGGGGAAGGGCGTGCAGTTTGTGGGCAGAGTGCAGGGGACTGATAGCGAGTGGTAGGGACAGCAGCGGGTGTTGCTGTTCCTCTCTCACCTCTCAGAAGCCACCCTGTTGGCAGGGTACTGCTGCTGAGTCCCTGACATCTGGTTGGGAGTGGCAGTGGTTGGTAGATGTTATATCCATTGTGTAATGTAATGTAGCACTGTCGGTTGAAAAGTACAATGTATTATACCGTTGCCTCAGAAGGGTGTAACACGACAGTTGCGTAGCTTCGGACATGCAAATGCATGTTCACCGCTGTTCAACAATGAAGGGCATAAAGGTAGGCTTGGTACAACAGGATGGGCTTCCTTCACTATGCCTTGCAGAATGTGTCTCCTCTCATTAAAGCATTATATTCATAGTACACCAAAGTCATTCATGGCATATCCATGTTAATGGTGGCCAGGATTCTTCTTTGCAGCTGCAGCCTTCTTTGCCTGCGCAATCAGGGCGGCAAGCACGGAAAACAAACAGCGGAAAATCAGAAAAGGGCTTCAAAATAACACACAACCGGCACATGAGAGGGCCTGAAGGCATGTGAGCAAGGCGTGGCGTCGTCGGTGGCGTCGTTGGCTCGTAAGAGATCCATAAGTCATAAGAAGAGTTCGAGTATTCACAAAAATAACGTGGCCTAAGGCAAAGACGCAGGAAGGGAGATAATAACCGGAGGTATGTGAGCATGGTGACGCCGTCGGCGACAACCACACGACAGCAGCCACAATGAGAGTTCGCAAATTGAAAATGATGAACTGATCACGATTCGAAAGATCAGGTATCTTGGCAGGAAAGCACGCGAAGCTATTCCTACCCGGAGGTACGTGAGCATCGTCGCACCGTACGCGACACCCACTCCAACAGTCACAATGGGTATCTCACAAATCTGGACTTCACACACTGAAGGATCACGGATCACGTGTGCCAAGGCAAGGAGGCGAAGGTAGTCCTACCCGCAGGTACGTGAGCATCGTCGCACCGTAGGCGATACCCACGCCAACAGCCACAATCAGAGTTGGCAAGTCAACCGCTCACGAATGGAATGAACGCAGACCAGGAGTTCTAAGAAAACGAGGAATGAGAAGGAGATCGTACCCGCAGGTACGTGAGCATCGTCGCGCCGTAGGCGACACCCACTCCAACTGCCGAAACCCTCGCGATCTGCGGAAAGAAGCAACGAGATCCGTGAGAAAACTTCACACGTGTCGAAGCCTGACTGGATGAGATGACGTAGACAGATCCGACAGTTACAAGCGCTTGTCATTCGACAATCGGATGCAAGAAACACACACGGTTCACTAATGGAAGGGATTGCGACAAAAAAACGAGGAAGTAAACGCTTACAAGAGCGAGCGAGCTCTTTCCGGTGTACGGCATGTTCGCGAGCTACGGTATCAGTTGCCTTGACAAAAAGCCTTGTCGAACTGATTCGACAGCTGCTTATCACGCAACAATAGCGCAAGTGACGGCAGCAGGAGCGAGAAGTGCTCACAGGCTTGTGGTGTTGCGGGTGGCTATGGCTGCCGAACAATGGCGAACCCTGCTTTTCTTTTCCACATTGGATTCGAGTGTAGAGTTTACGTCACTGAGGGGCTAGTAGCACGGTCCGCTACGGTTGGAGACGGTGGATGGCTTAAAGCTAATGCAAAAATTAAGATGAGGTATTGAAAATTTAACAATTCATACTTTTGACCTAGACTAGAACACGAATTTATTACCCTGATCATTTAAAATCATCCACAATTTCATTTCCCCCATTTGACAATATCAAGACCACCATGGTTTCACTTGCTCCTCCACCTCCCCCACCCTTTCCTGCGTGCCTTCATCGTCATCTGCAGCTTAACTGCCTTCAGCTCCATCACTTCCAGCTTCAGACTCGTCACCCCACCTCTCACTCTCTGCTGCCATGCTCTCTTCGCAAACGCCCCAGCCGCCCCCATCCCTCCCCTTGTCCTGTTCCCCCCCTCTCTCCCTCCCACTCCCACCGAATCCTCAGAACCCTGCCCGGGAGACCCCAAATCTGCTGCTAATGGGCCGGGTCGGACGAGGTTAAGTGGGAACTCTTCAAACTCTGTTACATAAGCGCCGGAGAAGAGGCGAGCAAGATGCACTTGGCCAGTGGGGGTGACCTTGCAGGGAGCCTCACGATGCGCGCCCCCAAAGCTGTGATCGAAGCCCCTGCGGTGCAGCACCAGGGCTAGAGGCGGCTCAGAGTGCACCTGAGAGAGGGAGAAAGAGAGAGGAGGTTGTGAAGAGCCGGGTTAGCTGCCTGAGAGTGGGAGAAGGAGATAGAGAAAAAGGAGGTGAGTGAATGAGGTTGCTAAGAGCTGCAGGATGGGAGCCGAGCCCCCATAGGTGTTGGGGCAGCACAGGGGTTAGAGACGGCTCAGAGCACTTAGAGAGGGGTTAGAGACGGCTCAGAGCACTTAGAGAGGGGTTAGAGACGGCTCAGAGCACTTAGAGAGGGGTTAGAGACGGCTCAGAGCACTTAGAGAGGGGTTAGAGGAAGCTTGTAGCAGGCGAGGAAACTAAGTGAAGAAGAGAGCATGCAGAAGTGCCAAAAATGGAGGAAATGGAAAGGGTCCATAAGGGGCACGTACCGAGGCATTGGGCATGGGCCGATGCACCTTGAAGCTGACCACATGCATGTTACACGGTAACGGGCGGCCCAGTGGAGAATACGTCCAACCAAGGCCGCCCGGCTTCGGCTCCACAGTGCCAGCCAAAACACCCGGTTTCCCTGCCTTCCCTCCATTGCTGCTGCTACTGCCACTCCCCTTCCTGCCAGCCCCTCGTCCGGCTTCTCCATCCTGCCCGGAAACGAATCTCGACGGGCTTTCGGGCTGCCCGACAAAGAGATACGGCGGGTAGTTGAGGCGCGAGCCGATTCGTTGCGAAGTGAGGGAGGGGAGGAGGGCGGCGGAGGAGGAGGGCGAGGGGAAGGGGCGGGCGGAGGTGTTTCTTTCGAGGACTAGGTGGAAGATGGTTTGTGTGGGATGGTTGTCTAACACGCCCTGCTGCATGCCCCTGTTGTCGTCCTGTGGAAGGCGGCGATCCAACATCATTTCCAACCAGCCAGTCTGGTGTACAGAGGAGGAAGGGGGGAGGGGAGGGGAGGGGATGAGGGAGTGATTTAGTGAAAGAGAGGGAAAGTGCGGGGTGGTTGGTTGTCCAACACGCCCTGCTGCATTCCCCTGTTGTCGTCCTGTGGGAGCCGGCGATCCAGCATCATTTCCAGCCAGCCGGTCTGGTGTACAGAGGGGTGAGGGGGGAGGGATGGAAGAGAGAATCAGAAAGTGAGAGAGTAAGGGGGGTGGTTGTCTAACACGCCCTGCTGCATGCCCCTGAAGTTGTCCTGTGAGAGCCGACGATCCAGCATCATTTCCAACCAGCCGGTCTGATGCAGGCAGGAAAGGGGGAGGGGAGGGGAGGGGAGGGGAACAGGGAGTGAGTAAGGGAAAGAGAGGGAGAGTGGAGGGTGGTTGTCCAACACGCCCTGCTGCATGCCCCTGCTGTCGTCCTGTGAGAGCCGGCGATCCAGCATCATCTCTAACCAGCCGGTCTAATGCAGGGGAGGAGCACGGGGTTGGAGAGGAGAAGACGGAGTGACTAAGGACGCAGAGGTGGCAGAGACGGCAGTGAAAAGGTATGAATGTAGATACACGTACACACCTGAAACACAAAGCTATGCACACACACACAGCTCACCTTAAGGCTGGCCACGCCCACAGCCTGGCGCGTGGCACGGAGAACCTGATGCCCGAGGGGTCTAGCAGGAAGGCGAGGGCGGGCATGGGATAGAAGTTCCCCTGCGTGGGGAGCTTGGCTCAACACACACATGGGCCAAGGCACTGCCTTACCGACCGAGCACGAATCACCTTGCAACCAGCCACGCACCTTGAGGCTCGCCACGCCCACAGCTTGGCGCGTGTGAACGGAGAATCGGATTCCAGAGGGGTCTTGGATAAACGCGAGGGCGGGCATGGGGTAGAAGTTGCCCTGCGTGGGCAGCTTGGGGAGCGTCTCGCGGCGGACGGTCTGGAAGCCGTTGGAGTCGGTGTGGAAGAGGTGTGAGGAGTCGATGGACGTGCGGTAGCGCACCACGAGCTCCTTGTTGTCCACTGCTGTGGAGGAGATGTTCACATGATGGCGTGTCTCTATTAACAAGCCCTGGCGGGTGGCACAGGTGCAGCAAGAGGAGGGGAGGCAGGGTGGGAAAGGGGCAGGGGGGCAGAGCAGAAAGGGCAGATTAGATTGGAACTGGGAGAGACGGTCTGGAAGCCGTTAGAGTCGGTGTGGAAGAGGCGCGAGGAGTCGATGGACATGCGGTAGCGCACGACGAGCTCCTTGTTGTCTACTGGCGTTGATGAGATGTTCACCTGATGTCGTGTCTCTATTAGCAAGCCCTGGCGCAGGGGGGAAGGACGCGTACGGAGAAAAGCGGAAAGGGGTAATCGAAATTGAAATCAGAGGCGAGGGAGAGAGCAGGCGCTGGAGGTGGTTTCGTGGCGAACGAGGGGGGATAGGGGGAGGGAGGGGAGGACGGTCTGGAAGGCATTGGAGTCGAGGGATGTGTGGTAGCGCACGACGAGCTCCTTGTTGTCCACCGCCGTTGATGAGATGTTCACCCGGTGCCGTGCCTCTATCAGCAGGCCCTGGCGGGTTGGGGATGCGCACAGTGGGAAAGGGGAAGGTGGGGGGGGAGGAGTCGAGGGATGTGTGGTAGCGCACGACGAGCTCCTTGTTGTCCACCGCCGTTGATGAGATGTTCACCCGGTGGCGTGTTTCTATTAGCAGGCCCTGGGGGGTGGGATGAGAGCGGTGCAGAGGGACAAGGGGCAGAGGGATGGGCGGGAGGGAGTGAGGGTTGGGGCGGTAGCGCACCACAAGCTCCTTGTTGTCCACCGCCGTTGATGAGATGTTCACCCGGTGCTTGGTCTCGATCAACAAGCCCTGGCGGGTGGCACGTGCGTGGTGGGAGAGGTACAGTGGGAGAGGTACAGTGGGAGAGGTACAGTGGGAGAGGTACAGTGGGAGAGGTACAGTGGGAGAGGTACAGTGGGAGAGGTACAGTGGGAGAGGTACAGTGGGAGAGGTACAGTGGGAGAGGTACAGTGGGAGAGGTACAGTGGGAGAGGGGAAGACAGGGGAGAAGGACGGAGTCAGGGTTGAGGCAGTAATGCACTACGCGCCCCTTGTTGTCCACTGCTGTCGATGAGATGTTCACCCGGTGCCGTGCCTCTATCCGCAGGCCCTGAGAGGTGGGATGGGACGGGCGCAGGGGGGGCAGGGCGCATAGGGGGGAATTGGGAATGAGATTGAGAGAGAACGCACCTTGTGCGACCTCACTTTGTAGAGCACGAAAAAACATCTGAGGACCCACCTAAGGGGCCCTGACTTTTGTAGAGCACGAAAAACACCTGAGGACCCACCTGAGGGGCCCTGACTTTGTAAAGCATGACAGAGCGCACAACAGGTATCACGTGCCCCTCGTCCTCCTCGTCCACCAATGGCTCGTCCAGGACCTGCGGCTCCTCTAGCCCATCTGCCGCCTCCTCCCACCCTTGCTTGTCCATCGTGGCTGCAGCCTCTGCTACCTTCTGAAGCTCATCCAGGTCTAGATCACCCTCACCCTCCTTACTGCCCTGCTCCCCACTGCCGCCCTGCTCCCCACTGCCGCCCTGCTCCCCACTGCCGCCCTGCTCCCCACTGCCACCACCACCGTCGCCACTGCTGCTTTCCCAGTCGCGGCGGGTCACGCCTATGCTCTCTGGGTCAGGTCTCTCCTGCTCCCCCTCGTCCTCCTCCACCCCCACCTCGTGCCCCTCGTCCTCCCCTCCATCCGCCCCGCCTTTGCTCTCCGCATCAACACCAGCACCACCAACATCACCAGCACCAGCACCGGCACCACCGACACCAGTACCGGCACCATCACCACCAGCAGCAGCATCATTATCTGTGCTGCGCACTGTAATGACCTGCTCGGGTAACTCAGATCTTGCGGAAGCGTCAAAGTCACTGTCATCATGCACTCTGTTCCGGACCCTAGGACCAACCTCCCCTCCTTCTCCCACCCCTCCTTCTCCCACCCCTGCTACTGGCAGCCCTCCATGAAACCTGAGCGTTCCTGCTCCACTCAGGGCTCCTTCACCCAATCTCTCTCCTGAAACTGCACCTGTCGCAGCTTCAGTACCACCACCACCACCACCAGCATCACCACCAGCACCAACAGCGCCACTTCCATCGGTTGTCCCTTCCTGGTGCTGCCCCCTTCTTTTCCTCCGTTTCAGCTTCCCTTTCCGTCCCTTCTTCCTCGTCCCTACCCCTGCCCCCATACCATCGACATCAGCAGCACCACTCCCACTCCCCCCTAACCCTGCCGACTCATCCGCCCTGCCAATCTCACCACCGTGAACACCACCAGCCTCCCCACTTGCCCCACTCACGCTTCTCTTCCTCCCCTTCCTGCCCTTCCTTTTCTTCCTCCCCTTTCGCCTCACCTGCAAAAGCTTTCTCCTCAAACCCCCAACCACTGTCTCCCCATCCCCTCCCACCATTTCCGCTACAGTTTCTAATACCCCCCCTGCCCGCTTCTCAACTACAGCATCATCATCATCATTTCCCTCATCATAATCATCAGCAGCAACAACCCCATCCTCCTCATCCTCCTCTTCCTCCTCTTCATCACCAGCACCAACTTCTTCATCCTCATCCTCCTCATCCTCTCCCACACCACCACTCTCCCCCAGCAGTCGTCTCCTGGCCACCTGGAACTGCCTCAGCTGCTGCAATCGCCCTGAATACGGCCCCACCTCCACTTCCGGGTGCTGCAGCTGCTGCAAACCCGCCCCTCGCCCTCCCTCCCCTCCCTCCCCTCCTTGCCCTCGCTCCCCCCCCTGCCCGCCCAGCCCCCCCTGCCCTCCCTGCCCGCCCAGCCCCCCCTGCCCGCCCTGCCCGCCCTGCGCTTCTTGATCCTGCTGCCACAGCACCACGTCCCCCGGCTGTGCCCGCTGTCTCAGCCTCTCCCTCATCGCCTCCACCTCACTCAACGGCCGAACCTCCTGCTGCTCCCCTCCGCCTCCCATCTGCCCCTGCAGCTGCGCCTGCGCCTGCACCTGCGCCTGTCCCTGCGCCAGCGCCTGCGCATGTGAATCCTCAAGCCAATGCTCATCCTCAGGCATCCTCGCAACCGCCTGTGCTTGTGCATTCTCATTCCTGTCCATCTGATGCACACGCATACGCTCATGCTCATGCAAATGCTCATGCAAATGTGGATTCTCACGCTCAAGCCAATGCTCGTGCCCATGCCCATGCCCATGCCCATGCCCATGCCTGTGCCTGTGCCCGTAAGATTGCAAATGGTTCAAAGCAGCATTCCTCAGCGATTCTCTCAATACTCTCAGCCCCTCGTCCCCCCCACCTCCCCCCTGTGCCTCCCTATCCCGATGCCTTTGCAGCCCCTGCTGCTGCTGCTGCTGCTGCTGCCTCTGCCGCTGCTGCTGCAGCTGCTGCTTCCGCCTCTGCAGCCGCCACTGCCGCCGCTGCTGCAGCTCCCAATCCCCCAGCATCTGCCCTGTCCCGTCCCACGCCTCCACAGGTAGAAAACTGAACACCGTATGCACCTCCTCTGCTACCTCGCCTCGGGAAATAAACGACGCACCACCGTCAGTTACTATCGGGACCGCATCACCCCCAGGGAGAAACAGATACGCCCCGCTCCGCCCGGTATACATGGCGAATTCCTCGTCCACAATTGTGTCCCTGATGATTCTCCTGTGCTGGATGTTTTTCATGAGCCCACTCGCAGCGTAGAACCTGACTCGCTGCTCGTGGTTCCCAATCGAAAAGGCGTCGTCTTCCTTTGGATCGTGCACGGTGCAGTTATACGGCTTCGGGCAGGCGAATCCCGCGGGCGGGTTGGAAACTTCGACGCGCGAGAGCTCTGCTGCCGGGCAGTTGGGCAAAGTTTCGGGCGGGCCGACCACAAAGGTTTGGAGACCGAGAGCCGGCACTGTGGCTACCCAGAACAACCTGTGTCTCCCTGTTGTGACAGAGAGAGGGGAAGCAGACTTTGCAGCAGCAGCAGCAGCAGCAGCATCTGTGGCTGTGGCAGCAGTGGAGGTGTCAGTTGGGGGAGTGCCGTTACCAGCTGTGGTGGTAGATGAGGCGTTTTGGGGAGGCTTGGGAGTGAAGGGGGGCGGGTTGACCCACTCTGGCATGACCTGGGCAGGAAGGCACGTGCCCTTGGGGCTGAGCACTGCGATGAGAGGGATCTCCACCACCACAGAGATGACCTGTGAAGGAAGGGGGGCGGGCGTGGGGGAGCTTTTGAGTCGACTCTGAATCAACTGAATAAAAGCGAGATCACCACCACCACTGAGATGACCTCTGCAGGAAGGGGGGCGGGGGTGGGGGACGGGGTTTTGAGAATTCTCCAAATCCAGCTTTTGAGAATTCTCAGAAACCAGCTTGTAAAAAGCGAGATCTCCACCACCACTGAGATGACCTGTGAAGGAAGGAAACGAGTGGAAAACGGGTTGGGAGAGGGAGAGGAGGAAGGTGTAAGGGGAAGAGGAGGGTGAGGCAGGGTGCTGGCATGACCTGCGCTGGCAGGCACGTGCCCTTAGGGCTGAGCACTGAGACCAGCGAGATCTCCACCACCACAGAGATGACCTGTGAAGGAAGGGGGGCGGGGGTGGGGGAGGGGGGAAGAGGGGAGGCTGGGAGGAGGGGAAGGCGGCAGCATAAGATGGGCAGGGCAGGAGTGAGTACAAAAACTGAGGAACAAGAGAAACAAGAGAAACAAGAGAAACAAGAGGAGCACCGTGCCTGCTGCTCTCTGCTCCCCTCGCTCACCTGCTTCACCTCCTCTTCCAGCGGGTTATACACCACAATGCGCCGCCCAGTGCCGCCCACTCCCTGCTCCCCTCATTTTCCCTTGCACCTGCTCCCAGCTCACTGCTCCCTTTTCATATCCCCCCTGCTCACCTGCTTCACCTCCTCTTCCAATGGGTTGTACACCACAACGCGCCGCACAGTGCCCTCCCCTCCCTGCTCCTCCTGCACTTCTAGCCCCCTCCGCTCCGTGCCTGGCTGCTCCCCTACTTTCACTTCCAGAACACGCCGCCTGCCCCCCACACCTCCCCCAGTCCCACCCTCTCCAGTCCCACCTGCCGCACCCCCTCCTTCCATCCCCGCTCCAGCCACTGCTTCCTCCCCTCTCACTGTTCCCACTGCTTCCCTCTCTCCCGCACCCTCGCCCCTCTCCCCTCCCTCTCCTCCACCACCCAGCCCACCCGGTTCTCTGACTGAAGCAGAGGGGAAGGAGAGGGGGAGGTGGGAGGGCAGGATGTGCTGCTGGGTGCGGTGCTGCTCTGGGCGCAGCTGTACGGGCGACTTCTCAGGGTCTTGTGTGGGCGAGTCTGACAGCAGCGCCACCACCGCCGCACACATGAGGTCCTGTAGGAAAGTTGAAAGAAATTAATTAAGACAAAAAGGGAAAGGGGGGGGTTTACAGGATGAGTGGGCGCGGATCGGGGAAGAAAGGGATGTGAATACGACTCAGAACCCTTAGGGTCTGTATATGGACCAGCACACTTGCGGTGCTCCCAGTGATCTCAGTTCCATGTACATTAAGAACGTTGAGGGCAGTGTGCATGCGCAGCCCATCCCATAGTCCACCACCACAGGATCTCTACTTGAAAAAAAGGAACAGGTCACTCGCATTGGCTCCCAGTGCGCTGTGCTCCCAGAGGCACGTAGATTGAGGTCGTTGAGAGCGGTGTGCATGCGCAGCCCGTAGTCCACCACCACTGACTCTTTACGTACAAGTTGGAACAGGGAAGGGCACTTGACCGTGCCCCACTGCTATCAGTGCCTATCAAGGGGCACGTACATTGAGGTCGTTGAGCGCAGTGTGCATGCGCAGCCCATAGTCCACCACCACGGGGTCCCGGCCTGGATGTTGGAACAGGGCACTAGGTTGTGCTCCCAGTGCTACCAGTGCCTGTCAAGCCGACTCAAACACCACACTTGACTGTGCTCCCAGTGGCGCGTACATTGAGGTCGTTGAGCGCAGTGTGCATGCGCAGCCCATAGTCCACCACCACAGGGTCCCGTGCCGTGCCTGTGATGCCGTCGTGGTGTTGGAACAGCGCCAGGTTGCGCCGCGCTCGAACCAGCCGCTCTGCAAAGCTGGTGAAGGGGGGGAAAGGGGGAATAGGGATTGCTGGTAAGGTGCCTCACTGAAGACGTGCCACCAGTGATGCCGACGTGATGTTGGAAGTTGGAACAGCGCCAGGTTGCGCCGCACTCGCACCAGCCGCTCTGCAAACCTGGTGAAGCAGGGGGGACAAGGGGGAGGGGAAGGGGGGGGGGGGGGAGACGCCTCACTCACGGCGTGCCAGTGATGCCGTCGTGATGTTGGAACAGCGCCAGGTTGCGCCGCGCTCGCACCAGCCGCTCTGCAAAGCTGCAAGCCAGAGGGGCAGAATGGGAAAGCAGGGTTGGTTGCTTGCTGCTGCCAAAGAGGCTCGCTACTAGAGACGTGCCTGCTGCAGTGCCTCCGAATCAACTCCAGGTCGACTGAAAAGTAATCGGATCTCGATAGAGCACTCACTTGAGCGGGAACAGGAGATGCCTGAAGTTGTCCTCCCCACGCTGACCTCCCCCCGCCCCCCTCCCACCCTTCCCGCCCCCCTTCTCCATCCACTCCGCCTGCTCCGCCAATCGCTCCATCACCTCCCCCACCTCTCCGCCCCCCTTACTCGCTCCCCCCAGCATCCGCGCCATCAGCCCCCCCCCTCCGCCACCCCCCCTCGCCTGCAGCTGGGACCAAGTCAAAGCAAAGAGGATATCCGCTGCTCGAACAGCAGACTCTAGCACGCGGTCTACAGCCTTCCAGAAGGGGCGAGAGGTGAAGTAACCGCTCCAGTAGTCCTGCTCCCGATCCGCGTATGTGAAGAAATCGCCAGAGAGAGAGGGCAGGTTGGGGCGGAACGAGGGGGGCAGGGAGTAGAGATGGGCAGCGAGAGCGGACGGGTGAGAGGCGGGGAGAGAGGAGGGGAGAGAGGAGGGGTGTGTGGAGAGGAGGTGGCGGGTGGGATCGGAGGGGAGTTCGTGAGAGGTGAACACCGGGTGCTCGGACGGCAGGTCCTGCTGGGCTTCGTTAAGAGACGCCTCGTTAGCAGCAGCACCCTCGTTAACAGCACTAGCCCCGTTACCAGCGCCTTTGCTATGAAGAGTAGCGTCTCTAACAGCGGCCTCTCGGACAGCATTGAAATAGTCCCCAAGGGTGCCGAAGCTGGCGTTGACTCGCAGGTGCGGGTGGCTGTTGAAGTAGTCAAAGAGGCTCTCATAGTTGGTGAACTGGGCGTGCGCCTCCCTCATTGTGGGGTAGCGGAAATCGTCCCCCAGAGGGACCAGGACGACTTTCGAGCGATAAAGAAGGGATTTCTTGCGCCACTGAGGGGAAACAGAGGTGGTGGGTGGGTGGGGGAAGGCGGGGAGAGGGGAAGAGTTAGGGCAGGGGAAAGACGGAGAGAAAACAGCAGTTGACGGGAGTAGGTGTTGAGGAGGTCAAAGAGGCTCTCCTGGTTGGTGAACTGGGCGTGGGCCGCCTGCATGGTGGGGTAGCGGAATTCGTCGCTCAGCGGGACCAGCACCACCTTGGAACGATAGAGGAGCGATTTCTTGCGCCACTGGTAGGAAGCAGGAGTGAGGAAGGGGACAGATGGAGTGAGAGGAAAGACAGGGAGTCCAAGGGAACTCGCTGTGCACCTCCCGCATGGTGGGGTACCGGAAATCGTCGCCCAGAGGAACCAGGGCGACCTTGGAGCGATAGAGGAGGGCCTTCTTGCGCCACTGGTGGAACACAGGCAGAGGGGATGGGGGGATGGGAGCTTATGGGAGCTGTCTGTGTGCCTCCCACATGGTTGGGTAGCGAAAATCGTCCTTGACCTATGCAGGAACGTGACAAAGTCCTTGAACTAACCAAGAAAGTTGCCAGTTTGGAAGAGAAGTTGACAAACACTATGCAGGAACGTGACAAAGTCCTTGAACTAACCAAGAAAGTTGCCAGTTTGGAAGAGAAGTTGACAAACACTATGCAGGAACGTGACAAAGTCCTTGAACTAACCAAGAAAGTTGCCAGTCTGGAAGAGAAGTTGGCCAACAAGGTTACACCATGGAGCTCACAGATATAAAGAACCACTTGGCCAGCAACGACCTCAAAAGGCACGTAAGATTTCTTTATATCTGTGAGCTCCATGGTGAAATCCTTGTTGGCCAACTTCTCTTCCAAACTGGCAACTTTCTTTGTTAGTTCAAGGACTGTGTCACGTTCCTGCATAGTGCTTGTCAACTTCTCTTCCAGCCAGCACCACCTTGGTGCGATACAGCAGAGCCTTCTTGAGCCACTGGTGGGAGGCAGGCAGAGAAGGGTGGGCGGGTGTGGATAAGGGTGGGGGTCAGGGAAGGTTGGGGGCGGCAGGAGGAGGAGAAAGGCAAGGTGGGGGGTGGGTGACAGGAGGCGGAAGGTAGAAGGTATAGAACTGCCAATGGGCCTTGTTCAAGGCGGGTGGGATGGGGGCAGTGCAAGTCGTCCCCAATGGGACGAGCACCACGTTGGAGCGATGAAGGAATCAGAGAGTCAGACGGAACGGACAGACAGACGGGCCTAAACCGACAAGGGGGGCTCACCTGGTCAAGGATAATCGCTGCCCTCTAAGCAACATTCTGAGGTGTGATCTCCACGGCACGGGTGCCCCAGGGGCAGGAGTGCTCGCCGGTAGCCGTGTGTGTGATCTCAGATTGGCAACACACAGAGAGACGGACGGGCGGGCACAAGAAGGAACCTCACCTGGTCCAAGATTGTCGCTGCCCTCTCTGCCACGTTCTGAGGTGTGATATCCACAGCAGGCGTGCCCCAGGGGCACGAGTGCTCGCCGGTAGCCGTGCGTGCAAAGTCAAACTGGCAGCACACAGAGGGGTCGGGTCCGCACGTGTGTGGGACGTCGTATGAGTAGAACGGCATCATGTGGCACAGAATATCCGTCTTCCCCGCTGCTTCTGCTCCTGCTCCTGCTGCTCCTGCACCTGCTGCTGCTGCTGCTGCTCCTGCACCTGCTGCTGCTGCTGCCTCTTCACCCACCCCGGCTTCTCCACCCCCCTGTTCCCCCCCTGCCTCCGCTCCTGCCCCCAGTGGCGTCTTCCCGCCACTCTTATCCCACGCCTGGCGCCAGTAGAACTCTAAGTGGCGGCGCTTAGCTAAAACCTTCTTGATCTCGTAGTGCACGCGCTGAATGAGCATGTTGTGGAAGCCGGAGCGGTGCAGCAGGTAGGGCATGGTGGCACTGTAGCCGAATGGGTCGATGGACCATGAATTGGTGGGGACCACCCCCACTGCATCGTGCAGCCACGTGTTGCCCTCCGTTATCTGATGTGGGGAGAGAGGGGGGGGGGGAAGGGAAGGGGGAGAGGAGATGTGCCAGGGGAGGCAGAGGGGGGGAAGAGGCGGGCGAGAGGAGCGAGGGAGTGGGATGGAGCAGGACAGAGAAAGATGGACTGAGAAATGGTTCCTGAGGTGTGTGAGGGAGCGGTGCAGCAGGTAGGGCATGGTGGCGCTGTAGCCGAATGGGTCGATGGACCACGAGTTGGTGGGCACCACCCCCACTGCATCGTGCAGCCACGTGTTGCCCTCCGTTATCTGGGTTGGGGGTGAGCGGGAGAGGGAAGGGGGAGAGGAGATGTGCCAGGGGAAGCAGAGGGGGAAGAGGGGGGAAAGAAGAGGGAGGGAATGGAGCAAGGTACAGAAGAATGGAGTGAGAAATGAGGAGCAGCAGGTAGGGCATGGTGGCGCTGTAGCCGAAGGGGTCGATGGACCATGAGTTGGTGGGCACCACCCCCACTGCATCGTGCAGCCACGTGTTGCCCTCCGTTATCTGGAAATGGTGAGGGGGAGGAGGCGGTGGTATGGGGTGAGAGGAGATGTGCCGTTGGGGCCAGAGGGGGAAGAGGCGGGAGAGGGGAGCGAGGTTTTGGAATGGAGCAGGTTGGAGAGGGATGGGGCGGGGCGGGATATTTTACTGAGGAGTCCCAAGGCGCAAAGCTGCACGTAGGGCATGGCGGCTCTGTATCCAAAGAGGATGCCAGGAAGGGATTAGTGTAGTGGGTTTGATTGGGTGAAGCTGGCAGGGTGGGGAAGGATGGACTGAGAGACGCACGGCCATTGCGTAAAGGCATGGAGCAACTCGAAAGTGCCACACTGGGCGAGGTGCGTTTAACCGGGGAGGGGACGGAGAATGCACGGGCATGGAGAGAACAGGGAGAATGGTCAAGGAGAAACTGAGTGTGGCATCTTGACAAGCGACGGCTGGCTGAGTTTGAATAATAGCAAGAAGGATGGGCATCGGTGGCTAGGTAGGGAAAGAGAGGAGGAAAGGGAAGGCGTGGGAAGGGAAGATACCTGCTCGAGGATGGCAAAGTAGTGGGAGTTTGCCTGCACGCACATGCACACGGACAGAAACACGAACAAAAAAGGACGCTGGGCTTAACTTGCACAGAGGGAATTGAAAATGGGGCATGGGCCACATCGGATGGGGTACAGGGCACAGGCCATGGGGCATAGGGCAAGGGGCATGGGGTATGGGGCATGGGGTATGGGGTATGGGGGATGGGGTATATGGGGCATGGGGTATGGGGTATGGGGGATGGGGTATATGGGGCATGGGGTATGCGGCATGGGGGATGGGGCATGGGATATGGAGCATGCAGCACAGGGCATGGGCATTCACAAGGGAATCTGCTGAAAGTTAAAAAAGCAGCACTGAAAGGAGAAAGCACTTCTGTCAACCATTGTCGTTCATGACCCATCCCCACCGCAACTCACCTCATCGTTCATGACCCATCCCCACCGCAACTCACCTCATCGTTCATGACCCATCCCATCCCCACCGCACCTCATCATTCATGACCTATCACCCCACCCATCTAACTCATCGTTCATGACCCATCCCCCCACCCGCCTACCTCATCGTTCATGACCCATCCGCCGCCCACGATCTCGAGCTGGCCGTTCTGCAGGAGCGCCTTGAGCTTGCCCTTCATCTCCTCACTCGCATCCATCCACCACCGCGACAGGTACGACATCTCCTCCCATATGAACTTGCGAGTCGGTTTCTAAAGGGGATGAGATGAGAATCATCCACAGGGAGCGAGAAAAAACAGCAGCTTTAGGGAAGGGGTAGACGGTAGACCAGGCACAGGCAAGGCAACAACAACCAGGCTTACTTCCTGCACCAGAGCTGAACTGAACCACAATAAGCATCCTCGCTAGAAGCACACTGACATAGAGGATACTCGTTATAAGCACACCTCGGAGAGGGCGTTGACGATGGTGTCAATGATGCCGCGAGTGCTCGACTTGTAATACTCCTCCACCGTCTCTAGCCAGCCGGGGTCGTTGTGGGAGTGTGGCACCACCAGCACTCGCAACGGCTCCTCGTCCCACTCGTGCCCCGTGTACTCCAGGGGGAAACCCTGTGAGGAAACCAATGAAGTGACACAGACAGACAGACAGACAGATGCTTCAATATATTTTGCACCCACGGACTCTTAGCGTTGCACACACTCACATGAAGCCGATACAAGGACCCAAATCCGCTCACCAACGCACCCACCCACCTGTGATCCTAACCCACCCCCTCACCTGCGTCCACACGCCTCCCGGAAGGTTCTCGAACGCGATCTCGTCGTACAGGGCCTTGGTGGTGACGTCAGCCGTGGGCTCGTCAGCCAATGCGGGGTCGCCAGGTACGCGCTCCACGTCACTTCCGCCCAGTAGGAAGGACCACACGCGGAGAGGTGGGCTGTCCACCTCCCGGCCTGATAGAATCGAAGGGGTTGAGAGGGGTGAAACAAGCGGGTCAGAATTGATGTTATCGAATTCAAGATACAACAGATAAGAACGCTTTGGCTTCATCCAGGCTCAATTTCAATTCTTTGAAAATAAAAAAGGCACAGAAAGGACGGATTGAAATTAGGGACAATTTGCCATGGATTTACTTGAGGTGCGAATAATTGGGACGGAAATGGTGGGAAAAAAGGTTTAGACAAAAGTGTGGTGGTGAGACGGAAACGGTCTGGTGACGTTAATGCTACTGTTCGCCATTCTTATTCAATCTTATCTGGCCGCAATTGGCGGCAGATCCCGAAATGCGTACTATTCATCGAACGAGTCTAATAACCAGCTAGAAAGCGTGTCGCGATCAGCTAACAGAGTAGAGTAATGCATGAAACGAGCGCTAGACCTGCAAGATTCATGACGAGGAGGTTATATCCCGCCACTAGCGCGATGCAGATCAGCCAAAATCGCTTGCTTCGTGCCACGTGGCTGAATTGAAAAGGCGACGATCGCTCGCCATGACCCTGGCTCGCAGCGCCTGCTGCGCGGCGTCGATTCCGTCTAGGTATCACCATAACTGCGCTACGTGATGGTCGACGGAACAACGCATTAGAATGACATCAAGCTTATCTTAGAATGACGGACAATACTACCACTAATTTCTGGTCCACCCGAGTCTCGAGTCTCGACAATCTCAAGGTCGGTGTGTGCGTGCAACACATTTCGTACAGCACTGCACTCAACTGTAAAAGAACGGGCTGGAGATTTCAAGGGCAATGCGCCGAGAGGAGAAGCGCGGTGGGGGAGGGAGTGCCGCGGAGGTGGGGGGGGGCGGGGAGGTGGGACTGGGTCATTGGGGGTCACCGCAAGCACACACTTGAATCAAGGCCGGCTAGGCCGAGGGGGAGCGGAGGAGAGGAGGGGTGGTTGAGAGGGAGGCTGGGGAAGATGGGGGAGGAGCGGGGTGATGGGGGAAGGGGGGATTTACAGCAAATGTCGCGGAACCTAGAGTGTTGCGTGGCTACACATCATATCTGCCGTCGATTACAGTCATCCGAAATTATGACTGCCGTAGGATCCTACTTTTGAGCAGACAGCGTTCACGGGGGGGTATGGGCAGGGTGGGAAGCACTTGTGGAGGCTGGGATGGGGGAGGCTTTGTGTGTCCATAACCTTGGAACCTGTTTCTGATAGGTAGAGAAAGGTGAACATGTGTTTTCTTTACAAGTCATGTTAGCCCTATGTCAGCGAACATAATTCTGCAAAAGAAACACTTTATACAGAACCTTGCCAGACAGGGCCGTGCTGTGGAACCCTGGCTTGGTTGATTGGTCGTCAGATTTCATCGGCCACACGAAAGAGCGCAGGCGCTATTCTTGACACGTTTTCCGTCAAGCCGCTGTGGGTGCAATGAGAATGTTCGTCCCGCCCCGTCAATCCTGACCTGACGTGACTTAGACATCACTAAGGGGAAGCTGCTCTTCAGTACCAGCAGTGACATTAGTTCCAACATATTTTCCAGCTTCCCTCTCGAATATCCGTGAGCCGTACGCGCTACGTCGTTATTGGAGCGAAGATGAAGCTTCCTGCTTAGCAAGCCGGTATCGTGATATCGGTTCTGGCTCGTTCGCTTCTCTGTCATTCGCATTGCACGTGCTGGTTACATCTCGACGTCGGCGTCGTTTCATCGCCGAGGGCAGAGCCTCATTTCACTAAAGGCCGGCATCCCATTCACGACCGACCTCCCTTATTAGTAGGCCTACCACGGTGATACTCTTGTTCACGGCGGTAGTAGTTCGGTCTTGGTCCTGACCGGTTCTTCGCGGTACCATTGGTTGACGCATGTGCTTCAGCGGCAGGTCGACGCCAGGGGTGCCACGTGGCACATCAGGAACGTGTTTCGAGCTGGCGAACCGTTTCTTGTAGGGCTACGGTTCTGACCGGTACTTCGCGGTTCCGAGATTCACGTTTGATGTGCTTGGACGGCATGTCGTTTCGTGGAGCGTTCAAACGGTTCGTGCAGAGTGAGTGCTGCTAGTGAATGGTGTGTGGGTGGGTTGGTGAAAGTGAGTGGGTGCGAGTGAGTGGGTGAGAGTGGGTGGTGTGAGATTGAGTGTGTCTGGAAGGGGGCGCTCTTGTTTCTTGGGTTCAGAGGTTGAGTTGAATCGAAGGCAGGGGCAGGGGCATGTGAGGGGGGAAGGGGAAGAATGGGAATGAGTGGGATCTGCCTTGTCCACCAGGGATGAGACGAGCTCGCTGCTCTCCTACTACCGCGCCTCACCGCATCCTTCCCCGTCGTCGTACCCCCGCTTCCATGGCAGAGAAGAAGCCATCCGCAGGGGCGTATCCGCTTATGAAGCCCGTGGGGCCGGACGGGGCTCTGCCTCACTACACACGGGAAGAGCCCACCGCAGCCCCAAGCACGTCTCAACCCGTCCCTCCTTGTATTCTCTGTCCTTCCCCATCCCCAACTGCAGAGAAGAAGTCATCCGCAGGGGCGTATCCGGTTATGAAGCCCGTGGGGATGGATGGAGCCGTGCCGCACTACACCTGGGAAGAGCTTGACTCAGCGCCTACCACGTCTCACCCCGTCCCACTCATCGTGTTCTTCGCCCCTCCGTCGTCCTTCCCCATCTTCCTTTTCCCATGGCAGAAAAGTAGCCATCCGCGGGGGCGTATCCGCTTATGAAGCCCGTGGGGCCGGACGGGGCTCTGCCTCACTACACACGGGAAGAGCCCACCGCAGCCCCAAGCACGTCTCAACCCGTCCCTCCTTGTATTCTCTGTGCTTCCCCATCCCCTACTGCAGAGAAGAAGCCATCCGCAGGGGCGTATCCGGTTATGAAGCCCGTGGGGCCAGATGGGGCTCTGCCTCACTACACGCGGGAAGAGCTTACCGCTGCCACGAGCAACTGGACACAGAAAATCGGCGAAGGGGGCTTCGGGACTGTTTATAAAGGGTATCTGCGGAGTGACAGTAGTAGCCGCGTTGGCGGCATTAGCAGCAGCAGCAGCAGCAATGGGAAGAGTGGCAGTGGTGGGAATAGCGGGGGCGCTGGTGGTGGGGGAGAGGGTGGAGCAGGTGGAGAGGGGGGAGAGGGAGGGGAGGTGCTGGTTCCGGTGGCTGTGAAGATGTGCACGAGTGGGATCAAGGACAGCGGCAGGGAGCAGCTCATGGTGAGTGCAATGCGGTGCTGAGCGGTGGTGAGCGCTGTGGTGTGGTGCGGTGAGGTAATCATGGCTGTGGGAGTAGCGGGAGCTCTGGTGGTGGGAGGGAGGGGAGGTGGTTCTGGTGGTTGTGAAGATGTGCACGAGTGGGATTAAGGAGAGTGGCAGGGAGCAGCCCATGGTGAGTGCAATGCACTACTGGTGATGACGCCAGTGCAGCACTCATACGTCCTCAGGCTGTTGGGGGTGGCCACGCTGGGGGAGACACTCAAGCCTGCTTCGGCGGTTGACTCAATCAACCCCCATCGCATCCCATCCCGTACCACCCCTTCCCATCCCATCACCCTATACTGCAGACGGAGGTGATGGTGATGACGGCGGTGCAGCATCCGTACGTCCTCAGGCTGCTGGGGGTGGCGTCTCAAGTCTACTTCACAGGTGACTCAAACTTCACCTCACCCCACCCGACCCCACCCAACCCACCCCTTTCCACCCCTTCCCATCCCTCAGACAGAGGTGATGGTGATGACGGCGGTGCAGCACCCGTACATCCTCAGGCTGCTGGGGATGGCTTCTCTGGGAGAGACCCTCAAGCCTGCCTGAACTCCCATCGCATTCCATCCCTTCCCACCCCTTCCCATCCCACAGACGGAGGTGATGGTGATGACGGCAGTGCAGCATCCGTACATCCTCAGGCTGCTGGGGGCGGCCGGCCACATTGGGGGAGACGCTGGGAGAGACCCTCAAGCCTGCTTCAGAAGGTGACTCAAACCCCCATCGCATTTCATCCCTTCCCATTCCACCCCATCCCTTCCCACCGCTTCCCATCCCTCAGACGGAGGTGATGGTGATGACGGCAGTGCAGCATCCGTACATCCTCAGGCTGCTGGGGGTGGCGACGCTGGGAGAAACGCTCGCCATGGTGTCTGAGTTTGTGCCCAACGCGGATGTAGACCTGCTGCTGGAGAGAGGTGAGTGTGGTGATGGGTGTGAGAGGTGAGTGAAACAGTGTGCATGCGTTCTGGGGTGGCGGGCACGTCACATGCGAGCGCTGGGAGAGACGCTCGCCATGGTGTCTGAGTTTGTGCCACATGGGGATGTTGACCTGCTGCTGGAGAGAGGTGAGTGGAGCACTATGCGCTTGACGGGGGGCAGCAGGTGCGTCACATGCAAGCTCTGGGAGAAAGAGTCGCTCGCCATGGTGTCTGAGTCTGTTTGTGCCCAACGCGGACGTCGACCTGCTGCTGGAGCGAGGTGAGCAACGCACTATGCGCGTGGTGCGTCAAATGTGAGTGTTTGGAAAGAGAGTCGCTCGCCATGGTGTCTGAGGTTGTGCCCAACGGGGATGTCGACCTGCTGCTTGAGCGAGGTGAGCTTAATGAAGGGTGTGAGAGGTGAGGGAAGCACTATGCACGTTCCTTGTTCCACATGCCTGCCCACTCCTCTCTCTCCCCCACCACCAGCTGTAGTGCGCAATAGGGATGGTGCTGGCGGAGCAGGGCGGAGCAGAGAAGGCACGTCTCTGACTCAAGACTCTCTCTGCCATCCCTTCTCTCCCCACCTCCACCTGCAGTGCGCAACAGGGGGGATTCCTTTGACTGGACGGCCAGGATCGTGCTGGCCGAGCAAGTTGGTGAGGCACTTGACTGAAGACGCTTCCTCCCTGCCCCTTCCCTTTCCCTCCACCTGCAGTGCGCGAAGGGAGAGACTCGTTTGACTGGACGGCTAGAATGGTGCTGGCGGAGCAGGTGGGGGAGGCGCTGGTGTTCATCCACAGCAAGGGGTACATTCACCGCGACTTCAAAGCTGCTAATGTGCTACTGGCGGAGGTGCGTGTAGGGTGTTGTGTGGTGAAGTGGTGTGGCTGCAAGGTGCAGTGTGTGGTGCTGGCGGAGCAGGTGGGGGAGGCGCTGGTGTTCATCCACAGCAAGGGGTACATCCATCGGGACTTCAAAGCTGCTAATGTGCTACTGGCGGAGGTGCGTGTAGGGTGTTGTGTGGTGAAGTGGTGTGGCTGCAAGGTGCAGTGTGTGGTGCTGGCGGAGCAGGTGGGGGAGGCGCTGGTGTTCATCCACAGCAAGGGGTACATCCATCGGGACTTCAAAGCTGCTAATGTGCTGCTGGCGGAGGTGGGTGTAGGGTGTGGCTTTACTGGAGTGGCGGCAGGGTGCAGTGGCGGCAGTGCCGCTGGTGTTCATCCACAGCAAGGGGTACATTCACCGCGAGTTCAAGGCCGCCAATGTGTTACTGGCGGAGGTGGGTGTGGCAATGGAGGGCTGACTGAAATGGGCATGGTCATGGACCTGTAGTGGGACCGTGGGACGAGTACTGATCGATCAGGCATTTTTGGGGCACCTTAGCCGACTTTTGAGGCGCCTCAAAAGGCATGGTCATGGACCTGTAGTGGGACCGTGGGACGAGTACTGATCGATCGATCAGGCATTCTGGGCACCTTAGCGTGCTTGGGTCCATCCCCAACCCCTTCCCTCCTGCCCCTTCAAGGTGACTTCTGAGTCGACTCAAAAGTCTGATCGATCAGGCGTTTTGGTGCACCTTAGCGTGCGTGGGTCCATCCTTTTAAGAATTCTCAAAAGCGATGGTCATGGATGGACCCGCCGTGGGACGAGTACTGATCGATCGATCAGGCGTTTGGGGCACCTCAGCGTGCTTGGGTCCGTCCATCCTCAACCCCTTCCTTCCTGCCACTTCATCCCTGCCCTCCTTTTGAGTCGACTCGAAAGTTTTGGGGCACCTTAGCGTGCTTGGCCCTTGGGTCCATCCTCAACCCCTTCCTTCCTGCCACTTCATCCCTGCCCCCTTGCTGCCTTCTTTCCCCGCTCCAGGGCATGGTGCCCAAGGTGGCGGGCTTTGGAATGGCGAGGCTGGTAGAGGACTGGAATTCAACCCTTTCTGCCCCACTGCGCTCCCTGCTCGGCCCCCCCTCTTGCTGCTGCCCTTCCTGTCCTCCCTGCCCCCGCCAGGGCATGGTGCCCAAGGTGGCGGGCTTTGGAATGGCGCGGCTGGTAGAGGACTGGAATTCAACCCTTTCTGCCCCTCCTGCTCATGCCCCACTGCGCTCCCTGCTTGGCCCCCCCTCTTGCTGCTGCCCTTCCTGTCCTCCCTGCCCCTGCCAGAGCATGGTGCCAAAGGTGGTGGACTTTGGAATGGCGCGGCTGGTAGAGGACTGGAAGACAACCCTTTCTGCTCCTCCTGCTCATGCCTCACTACCCCTGCTCGCCCCCTTCACCCCCCTCTGCTCCTGCCCTCGCGGCCCCTGCCAGGGCATGGTGCCAAAGGTGGCGGACTTTGGAATGGCGCGGCTGGTAGAGGACTGGAAGACACATGTCACGACGCGAGTGGGCGGCTCTCAGGGCTATATCGACCCCAACTACTTCTCCACTGGTGCGTACTGCCATTCGTGGTCAAGTTCTGAAGCACTTCATAAGGGCTTATGAGGCACCACCTCGCATCAAAAGGCCTCGCAGACCCCAATTACTTCTCCACTGGTGAGTGTTGCCACTCGTGTCTGAGTTTTGAAGCTTCAAAGAGGGCTTTTCAGTGCGCCAATAGGGCTTTTCAGTGCGCCAAGAGGGCTTTTCAGTGCGCCAAGAGGGCTTTTGAGGCGCCTCACAAGGCCTCTCAGGGGTACATTGACCCCAACCACTTCTCCACTGGTGAGTGCTACCCCTCGTGTGGGATTGCTTATGAGAGTCCCCACAAGGCCTAGAGGGCTTATGAGGCACCTCACTTCACAAAGGCTCTCTCAGGGGTACATTGACCCCAACCACTTCTCCACTGGTGAGTGCTACCCCTCGTGTTCAAAGGATCACTGCTGTTTACTCCACTCCACCAACTTTAAAAATGTTTTCTTCCTTCCCCTCACCCTCCCTACTCACCACCCCGACCTCAACCCCAGGGTTTCTCACCAACCATTGTGACACGTATGCGTTCGGCATCTTCCTTCTAGAGCTCATGTCAGGCGAATGTGCGGAGGAGAACGGCTTTAAGGCGATCAGAGTGGCAGCAGAGGAGCGCCTAATACCGCTAGAGAAGCTTAAGAGGGTGGTGATGGATAAAACCATTGCCGGACAATGGTCCGAGGAGCATGTAAGGTTGGTGCTAAAGATTTTCCGGTTGGCTGTGTGCACGGATTGGGCGAACCGGCCTAAAATGGACCAATTGGTTGGGAAGCTTAAGAAAGCGAGGGAAAGTGCGGCTGGAGTAGAGAAAACTCAACATTAGCCTGTCAGACGTTTGCACCACCAGCCTGTCAGACGTTTGTTGCCTTTCCCTTTTCTAATGAGGCTATAAAAGACATTGACTTGCAATGCTGTCTTATTACAAGCACTTTAAAGAGCAGAGTCAACAGTGTCGCCCGTGAAACGTCTCTTAGCGAGACATGCACCAACTAGTGATTCTGACCTTGTTGGGAAACATGCACGTTCACAGTTTGGCTTACATTACTGTACAGTATTGGGCACTCGGCAGCCGTCTCCGTCCCACAAATTTGGGGGGCGCACACTGCACACACCCATAATCCTACTGTTTTCGTTTGCAACAGAAAGTCCTGGTTACCCCAAACCTCACTCTAATGGTCCGGAACACTCGAACTTTTGATTTGCGGAATGAGATATCGTCATAAGCTAAGGTCCCAATAGGTGAATTGTCCAGATATTCTGTATTTCAAGAATTTTCCGTGGAGACCCGATGCTTCAGGGTTCCTATGAACGAAATCCCTGACAGGGGGTGCGCAGATTGTCATGTATGTCCTGTGCGCGATCACTCTTTTTGAACTGTCACCGTTGTAAACCGTGGACTAACCTACTTTCTTACATAGTACCGTGTACAACCTCTCTCTGGCCCGTCCACGTTGCACCACAGCTCCATAGAGTGACCTGACCACCACAGCTCTCAGTCCTATTGCGGCAAGAGTTCTGAGAGCCACAAACTTCAGAGCGACGATTAGTCTAGTAGCTTTCCGCGCTGGGTCTACCGCGCTCGTCACGCGGGGCCAGTGCAGAAGCTTGCTTCGTTCGGAGTACATTCTACATTCCCGCTTCTGAGGCGCTTCGAAAGCGCTTTCCGAAGGCTCGGTCCCGACGACCACATTACGGAAACGACTCGGGCCGCCTTTGGTTCTTCGTTTCGTTGTTTTTTTCTTTTTCTATTTTTTTTCTAGACGCGACTCAAAATTAGCTCTGGCTCGTTGCGACGCGCTTTGCCGCCATGAAGTCGTTCGGCAAGATGATGAAAAGCATTGGCAACAGCATGAAAACTAGTGAGTGCGTGGACTCGTTATCATTTGCTATAATCACATTACATTTTTCAGCCCGTTTTATCTTTACATGTTAGATATTGTAATCAATCGCGTATTCCTTTTTTTTTTTTCGATGTCCTGTAAGTCTGTCATCGTGATGGTACGCGAACACAACATCATATCAACCCTTTCTCCCTTACTCTACATTCCGCCGCCTCCACATTTGGCCCCACCGCACCCAGCAGCCCCACTGTTCGTTCTCCCTGTCGCTCCCCCACACACATTACTCCCCAACTGCCCTCTTCCGCTCCCCCCTTCCCGCCTCCCCTCCCCATTCCCTTCCGCCCACTTACCGCCCACGCGCGCAGAGGAGAAGGGCTCCGCAGTCCACCCGTACTTGAAGCCCGGGGGGGAAGGGGGGGACGGCACCTAACCACACTTCCCCGCCCTCACTTCCCCCCTGCCCCACTTCCCCCCGCCCCCACTTTTTCTCTGTTTAGAGGAACGGCGCGCTCCTGGGGGCGGACGGCGCGGCCCCCATGTACACGCTGAGCGCCGCAACCTCTTGAGAACCTCCAGCTTGGAGGAGAAACCAACAGCTTGGAGGAGAAACCAACAGCTTGGAGGAGAAACCAACAGCTTGGAGGAGAAACCAACAGCTTGGAGGAGAAACCAACAGCTTGGAGGAGAAACCAACAGCTTGGAGGAGAAACCAACAGCTTGGAGGAGAAACTCTTGAGAACTCTCAAAAGCGGCTCCACACTTCTTCCTTCCACCTAGCCCTACCACACTACTCCTTCCTTCTCCCTGTCCCTCTCTCCCACCAACCAACAAGTCTCCCCGTTTCCATCCACTCCCATCTACCCCCCTCCCTTTCTCCCCCATTACCCCTTCCCCTCTGCGCAGAGGAGAAGGCCGCGGCGCCCCACCCGGACTTAAAGCCCCTGGGGGGGGACGGCGCTCCCCCCATGTACACTAAAGAGGAGCTCAGCGCCGCTACCAACAACTTCAAGCACAAGCTCGGCGAGGGGGGGTTCGGAGCGGTGTACAAGGGGTTCCTCAAGGTGGAGAGCGGTGCAGAGGCTGCAGAGTCGCTGGGCGTGGATCTGAGCGCGGTTGCTGACGGGGAAATCCCTGTGGCGGTGAAAATGTGCGCGGCGAAGGTTCTGAGCGCGAGGGAGCAACTGATGGTGAGAGAGTGGTTCGGATACTGGGAGCGTGGAGAAGGGGTGTGGGGGGGGAGGGGAGATCCCTGTGGGGGCGAAAATGTGCGCGGCGAAGGTTCTGAGCGCGCGGGAGCAACTGATGGTGAGATGCCAGTTGGCATGGCTTGTGGGAAGATGATGCATGCTGGGGCGGTTGGGGGGGAGGGGAGATCCCTGTGGCCGTTAAGATGTGCGCCGCTGAGGTTCTGAGCGCAAGGGAACAACTCATGGTGAGTGGTTGGGGTGCCCCAACACAGCTCATGGGGAGTGTTGGGGTGCGGGGAGGGATAGCTGTGGCCGTTAAGATGTGCGCTGCCAAGGTTCTGAGCGCGGGGGAACAACTGATGGTGAGATGACAGCTGACGTGGCTCTGGGAGGGAGGGGCGGTGGTGCATGCAGGGGCGGTGGTGGGGGGCGGGAGATCCCTGTGGCCGTTCAGATGTCCGCCGCTAAGGTTCTGAGCGCAAGGGAACGGCTGATGGTGAGAGATTCTGGGCAAGAGTCTAGGCGCCCCATGGCATGAGGGTGCCATGGCATGAGGGTGCCATGGCATGAGGGTGCCATGGCATGAGGGTGAGACTTTAACGTGCTCTTGCCCTTGGTGCCATGCCATGGTGGGTGGTTGGGCTGCTGGGAGTGTTGGGGGGAAAGGGGGATCCCTGTGGTCGTTACAGTGTGCGCCGCTAAGGTTCTGAGCGCGCGGGAACAGGTCAGATGGTGAGGGATTATGGGCAGCCCATGGTTTCGTATCGACTTAAAGCACAACCCATGGTGTGGCTCCTGGGACGATGGTGCTGCAGGGCAGTGCACGGGCATTTTGAGGTTCCTCGAAACGAATTTTGAGGACTTTTGAGGCGCCTCAAAAGCACAACGCATGGTGTGGCTCCTGGGACGATTAGTGCAGGCGCGATTGGGGGAGCAGCGCTCAAGGTGAGTGTTGAGTTGAGCATGGCCGGCTGGGCTACTGCTTGGGAGGGGTTTCTGTTCTTCTCTTTTCTCCTCCACCCCAACCAGACAGCGGTGATGGTGATGGTGATGGTGATCGTGATGGTGATGGTGATGGTGATGGTGATGGTGATGGTGATTGTGATGGGAGGGAGGGAGTGCTGCTTTACCCCGGCACCATGCGCTGCTGGGAATGTTTCACGCTGTTGCACTTTGCACCTTGCACCTTGCACCTCGCACCTCGCACCTCGCACCTCGCACCTCGCACCTCGCACCTTGCACCTTGCACCTCGCACCTCGCACCTCGCACCTCGCACCTTGCACCTTGCACCTTGCACCTTGCATGCGCCTTGCGATTGTCAACTAGCACCACGCCTGTTCCCTCCCTCCCACCTCTTCCTCCCACCCCCTCTCCAGACGGAGAAGATGGTGATGGGAAAGCTGCGGCACCCCAACATGCTGCGCCCGCTGGGGGAGGGGCCAATCGCTGATGCTGCACCTTGTACCCTGCTCCCCTTCCTCCCCATCCACTCCCCCCCTCCCCGCCCACCCCCCAATTCAGACGGAAATGATGGTGATGGGGAAGCTGCGGCACCCCAACATCCTGCGCCTGCTGGGCGCGTGCATATCAGACGACCAAATGGCCATGATCTATGAATTCATCCCCTGTGGGGATGTGCACGAACTGCTGGAGGATGGTAGGTGCATGGAGGGAGGTGAGAGGGTGGAGAGAGGGTGGCTGGAGGGAGGGTGAGTGTACGTGGCTGCGCGTGACGGGACGACAGCATGGCCATGATCTACGAGTTCATCCCGTGTGTTGACGTGCACGAACTGCTGGAAGGAGGTAGTTGTGTGGGGCTGTGCATGTGGCTGTGTGCTTGTGGCTGGGTGGTTGGAAGAGCCTCAGGGGGGCCTGCTGGGGGCTTCAGGTCAGGTGCGTACGGGACGACAGCATGGCAATGATATACGAGTTCATCCCGTGTGGGGACGTGCACGATGCTGGAGGACGGTACGTGCTGTATGGTTGCTGTCGGGTTGCTTGCTATTGTGTGGTTTGGAGAGCCTCTGGGCCTGCTGGGGGACTCAGGTCAGGTGCATACGGGACGACAGCATGGCAATGATATACGAGTTCATCCCGTGTGGGGACGTGCACGAGCTGCTGGAGGACGGTGGGTGTGCTGTGTGCTTGTGGGTCTACGGTGTAAAGAGCCTCAGAGACCAGGCGCTGCTGGGGGCGTGCGTGCATATCAGACGACAGCATGGCCATGATCCACGAGTTCATCCCCTGTGGAGACGTGCACGAGCTACTGGAGGATGGTACGTGTGGATGGGGCTGTACGTGCAGCAGCTGTGGGCGTGTGAGCTGCTGGAGGAGAGGCATGCGTGTATATGCGGTTAGATGGGCGTGTGTGCTTGTGGTTGGGCAGTTAGATGGGCCTCTGGGGTTGCTGGGCACGTGCATATGGGACGACAACATGGCGGTGAGAGGCTGGAGAGAGGTGAGAGGCTGGGGGAAGTTAGCTTCCTCTGTGTGTCTGTGTGTGCTGATCCCCCTTCTTTCCCCACTTCTTGTCCCCTCTGCCTCCCTTCTCCCAATGGCAGCACGCAAGGGCAAGGAGGAGCACAGGTTCGAGGACAGAGGAAAGGTGGCCATGGGGTGTGCCGATGCTCTCTCGTTCATCCACGGGCAGTCTCCCATCGGCCCCACATACCTTCCCCCTCGTTTTCTCCCACCGCTTCTCACATACGCTCCCCTGCTCCCTCTCCCCTTCCCTTTGCAGCGCGAGCGGGCAAGGAGGATTTTAAGTACGAGGACCGAATGAAGGTGGCCATGGGGTGTGTGTGCGGAGGCACTGGCCATGGGGCCATGGGGTGCGCTGAAACTCTTCCACCTCCATCCACGGGCAATCGAACCTTGCCCCCACAACCTCTCCTTTTCCTTCCCTTTCCCGTGTCCGCCTCCCCCACACCCTCCTTCGCCTCCCCTACTCATCTTCCCCCAACCCCCCTGGCAGCGCGAGCGGGCAAGGAGGAGTTGAAGTACGAGGACCGGATGAAGGTGGCCATGGGGTGTGCTGATGCACCCTCCTCCTCCTCGCCCTCTTCCCCCCTCTTCCCTCTCCAAGGTGACTTTTGAGTCGACTCAAAAGATGCACCCTCCTCCTCGCCCTCTTCCCCCCTCTTCCCTCTCCTCCCCTGCGCATCTTCCCCTCGTTTCAGCACGAGCGGGCAAGGAGGAGTTCAAGTGTGCGGACCGAATGAAGGTGATTATGGGAGTGTGCGGAGACACTGACTTTTCATCCACAGCAATCAACCATCGACCCCACATTCCCTGCCCCCACTCCCCCACTCGTATTGACTCCCCCCCTCCCGCACATGCACAGCGCGAGCGGGCAAGGAGGAGTTTAAATATGAGGACCGGATGAAGGTGGCCATGGGGTGCGCTGAAGCCTTGGCGTTCATCCACGGGCAGGAGTACGTTCACCGCGACTTCAAGGCTCCCAACGTGTTGTTGGCCGAGGTGGGTGGGGGGTGTACCGCACAGCACCGAACAGCACTGTACATCACCGTACAGTAGGTAAGTAAGAGCAATCGCGTTCATTCACGGGCAGGAGTACGTTCACCGCGACTTCAAGGCTCCCAACGTGTTGTTGGCCGAGGTGAGGAGGGAGGGAGGTAGGCAGGAGCACCGTACAGCACCGTGCAGCACCGTGCAGCACCTTACAGTAGGTAAGAGCACTCGCGTTCATCCACGGGCAGGAGTACGTTCACCGCGACTTCAAGGCTCCCAATGTTCTGCTGGCCGAGGTAAGGACCACCGTAGGGCACCAGAGAGCACCGCAGAGCACCGCGGATTACCGTGGAGCAGTTTCGTGTTCATTCACGGGCAGGAGTACGTTCACCGCGACTTCAAGGCTCCCAATGTGTTGTTGGCCGAGGTGAGGAGGGAGGGAGGTAGGCAGGAGCACCGTACAGCACCGTGCAGCACCGTGCAGCACCTTACAGTAGGTAAGAGCACTCGCGTTCATCCACGGGAAGGAGTACGTTCACCGCGACTTCAAGGCTCCCAATGTGCTGCTGGCCGAGGTGAGGAGGAGCACCATACTGCACCACAGGGCACCGCAGAGCATACCCGTTCATCCCCATGCGTTGCACGGGCGGGAGTATTTGCATGCACCGTAACTTCAAGGCACCCAACGAGCTGCTGACAGCACAACTCATGTCACTGATTCTCCTCGCGCCTCCTGAGACGTCTCAAAAGTCGTCTACTTTTGAGACGTCTTTTGAGACGTCTCAAAAGTCGTAACTTCAAGGCACCCAACGAGCTGCTCACAGCAGAACTCATGTCAGCAGCTCGTTGCGCCTCGCGCCTGATTCTCAGAACTGACAACAGAACTCATGTCACTGATTCTCCTCGCGCCTCCTCTCTCGCCGTTCTTACTCCTCCTGGCCCTGCCGCCCTTCCTGCACCCCATCCATACCGCTTCTATCGCACATAATCTGTTCAATTCCCCCGTCCACCCCTCGGCCTGTCCCGGCGGGTGGCTACCCTTTGGGCTGGCGAGGATAGTTTAGACCTGGAAGGATCATGTGACGTCCCGCCATCACCCCCCTCCTGTCCCCTTCCCTTCCCCACCCTCCCTCTCCTCTACCTCAGGGCCTGTCTCCCCGGGTGGCTACCTTTGGGCTGGCGAGGATAAGGAGGATTGGAAGGACCGGATGACCCGCCATTCACCCCCTCCTGTCCCCCTCCTCCCTTCCCCACCCTCCCTTGCACTTCACTTCCATGCTCTCTCCTCTTACCCCACGGCCTGTCCCCCTGGGTGGCTGGCTTTGGGCTGGCGAGGATAGTGGAGAACGGGAAGGACAGAGCGGCGCCGCTCACCCTTTCTCATCTTCTCGTGCCCTCCTCCCACCCTCCACTCTCTCTCACACCAGGCCCTGTCCCCCCGGGTGGCAGACTTTGGGCTGGCAAGGATAGTGGAGGATTGGAAGGACCATGCGACGACGACCCCTTTCGCCCTTCTGTCCCTTCTCTCGCCTCTCCTCCTCCCTTGCCCTCCTCCCGCCCTGTTGCACTCTCCACCCCCCAGGGCCTGTCCCCGTGAGTGGCAGCCTTTGGGCTGGCGAGGATAGTGGAGAACTGGAAGGACAGAGCGGCGCCGCTCACCCTTTCTCAACTTCTCGTGCCCTCCTCCCACCCTCTTGCACTCCCCATCAGGGCCTCTCGCCTCGGGTGGCCGATTTTGGGCTGGCGAGGATAGTGGAGGATTGGAAGGACAGAGCGGCGCCGCTCACCCTTTCTCAACTTCTCGTGCCCTCCTCCCACCCTCTTGCACTCCCCATCAGGGCCTCTCGCCTCGGGTGGCCGATTTTGGGCTGGCGAGGATAGTGGAGAACTGGAAGGACCATGTGACGACGAGAGTGATGGGGTCACGGGGTTACATCGACCCTGAATACTTCGAGTCAGGTGTGCTGGGATGGGAGGGAGAAAGAGAGGTAAAGAGATAAATGCACTAGGTGAGTCAGGTTGGTGGTTGACGAGTTGAGCGGGTGTGCTTTTCTCAGAACGACCATTTGACGACCCGAGTGATGGGGTCGTGGGGAGGGGATACATTGACCCTGAATACTTCGAGTCAGGTGCGGTGGGAAAGAGGGTTAAAGAGAGAGGAGGGGCCGGCAGCTGTGTGAGCTAGCCTCCATACGTCTTACCCTTCTTACCATTCACTTCCCCTTCCCGCATATTGAACGAGCACTGCGACACCTTTGCTTTTGGCATCTTGCTAATTGAGCTCGCCACAGGCCACCTCAGTCATGAAAATCCCTCTCCTCTTTTCTTCCGCCTCCCTTCTCCCTACCCTCTGCCACCCCTCTGTTCTTTCTTCCTCCCCCCCCCCCCCCAGGCTACCTAAACGAGCACTCTTCTTACCTTCGCCTTTTAGTATTTTCCTCATCGAGCGTGCCACGCGCCACTCAGTGACAAACATAAACCCCTGCATGGTTCTCCTCCTCCTCTCTTCTCCCCCCCAGGCTACCTCAACGAGCACTGTGACACATTTGCCTTTGGTATTTTCCTCATCGAGCTAGCCACAGGCCACTCAGTCACAAGAGTCCCTCTCCTTTTCTCTTCCCGTTCCTTTCTTCTCTCACCTTCCTGCCTCTTCCCTTGATTCTCCCCACTCCTCCCAGGCTACCTCAACGAGCACTGTGACACTTTTGCCTTTGGCATTTTCCTCATCGAGCTAGCCACAGGTCACTCAGTCCTCGAGGCCAAGTTCGACGATGTGGTGAACGGTGCAGTGCGTTCGGACGACGTGGATCTGGGTGCGGTGATGGACCCCCGATTGCAAGGGCAGTGGAGTGAGGAGCAGGCGAAGACGTTGCTGGGAGTGGCGAAAGTGTGTATTACGACGGATTGGGACGACCGGCCTATCATGGATAACGTGGTTGAGATGATGCAAGGGGTGATGTGATGAGAAAACAGTTTCCGGAATGGCTTTTGAGTTGACTCGAAAGGAGCAGGCGAGATGCTGCTGGGAGTGGCGAAAGTGTGTATCATGACGGACTGGGATAACCGGCCGACCATCAGGGCCCAAAATTGGTTTTGGGCCACTCTTGCAAATCAGGGTTCCAGGCCCCCAGTACCCTGACCCCTAGGGTAATATTTTCCGTACACTGATGGCAGCAGCCTAAATTTTCAGATACACTGTTTGTGTCAGGGTAAAATTTTTGATACACTGTTTGTAGTGTAAAATGTTTATGCACTGCCATAGCAATAGACTGCAGTGTAGTGGCAGCGCGGTATGTCCCAGCTTGTTAGATGTTTGACCTGGTGTCGAAAGATTGCAAGATTTGAATCTTGACGGAGTTGATTATATTTTGAGGCTTCGCAAGGAAAATCCTCCCTACAGAGAATTCGGTATCAGAGTAATGTGCAGCGCACCCTGATACCGGCAGGGTATCCGAAATTGTTATCAGTGTACTCAAAACCTTACCCTTTTTCCACTAGGGTAAAAATTTCCATAGGCTGATTTGGCAAGGGAAACTGGGAAAAAGCGGCCGCTCATCAGGGCAAACAGGGTATTTTACCCTGATAATTTGGGGCCTGCCGACCATGGATAATGTGGTTGAGATGATGCAAGGGGTGATGTCATGAGGAGGGGTGTTATTTGAAAGGATTCTCAAGTGCTGCTAAGAAGAGGGAAATGTTGTCAGGAGGATTCAGGGCTGGTGGGACGAGAAGGGCGTTGTCTTGGAGGCGCCATGGTTATCGGGATGATGTGATGACTTGCATGTACTGCTATTTAGAGGGTCGGTGGTGGGATGAGTTTCTGTAGATGATGCTCCGGTGTGTGGGCTGTACTTTATTATACTAGTATTTCAATATGCGGTCGTTTCTAGTCATCATCGCTTTATAAAATTGGTCGGGTTGGTGACTTAAAAGTGTTGAGTCTACAGTAGCTGTGATGTGATGTTCATCTGTCCTTAAGTTGTAACGTTTAATAAATGTTCTGTTCTGGGCCTATGACTCTTGATGTTTAAACAGCTAATGCAGCTTGATATTGTTGGGCTTGCCTGCTTAGGCTGATGTGCGATGTTGTTTAGGCAAATACCGTACAAAAGCTTAAAGCCCAAGGTCAGCATGGTTTTTGCAACAGTGACGCGGGGGCTTTAAGTGTGTTCGCGAAAGGCATAAAAAAAACATTTCGAGAGCTGAACAGGTGCGAAAGCGAAACCAGGCAGCGACGAGCTTCAGCATTCGTCACCCAACTGTGCGACACTGCACCACGAGTTTGGTGCTTGGAGGGGGTTAGAAAGCGAAGCCATGTGTGTATATTGATTAAGACAAGACTCTCCAAGGAGTCTGCAGAGCAGAGCAGTCGTTATAGTATTTCAGATCTCAATCATACAGCACACTAGATTGCAAATTACAAAGATAATGAAGACATAACGAAACGAAGATAACTACCACTTGTATAGTTACGAAGCTAACGTCTATACTAACTAGCGTAAGGGCGGGAGGGTGGGTTCTAGATTCAGATCTAGAAATGATTTCGACTAGGTGGCAGGTCTGTGGACCTGCCACGAGATAAGGAGCAAATGACTCCTTACTGCATAATCCTTTACAAGTCTTGTCATAATCTTTAAATTTTGAAAATTGTATTTCAAAAATTTTCATATTAAGACAAGACTCTCCAAGGAGTCTGCAGAGCAGTCGTTATAGGCGATAAGAGACATATGGTGCGACGGGAGCAGGGCTCTATAACTCAGGGTTTTGCCCTGGTAGGGAAGGACGGAATGGAATGGACGAACTATACATATCTCACCTTATCGTGGGAGAGTTTCCCAAAAGAGAACGATGAAAGCGGTATCAGATGCGCGTAAGAATCGAGGGAGTAATAAGTTGCACAGTGATTGTCGCAAGACCTCGTCAGAAGCGATGAGGCGCCATCCATCGCGTAAGAGAACCCAAAAAAAAAAACATTTTTACACAGCATGACTGCATGACTAACCCGTATTTACCGTAGACTACGGTCGATGACGTATTGCTCACATCAACACGTTGATGTAATCAAAACAAGACTCTTCAAGGAGTCAGCAGAGCAGTCGTCATAGGGTAAGAAGTTTTGAGAGCCTTTGTGGAACGGTGGTCGTTTATCTGAGAAGGTCAAGCATGTAAACGATTAAGTTGAAAACTATGTTGACCATAGTGGTTGAGTTGAGCGTAAGCCAATGCTGCACAATGTCATGATATGGAAGCACTTTGGGGTGGTCTATTGCCTGTGTAAATACAGCTGCCAGGTGACCGTAAGGTTAAGGAGAAATAAGGAACCCTGAAAAAGAGCATCGTGCCATCTTCAAAACCAACTCGTAGTACGCCGTGAAAATATCACGAGATAAGGAGCAAATGACTCCTTACTGCATAATCCTTTACAAGTCTTGTCATAATCTTTAAATTTTGAAAATTGTATTTCAAAAATTTTCATATTAAGACAAGACTCTCCAAGGAGTCTGCAGAGCAGTCGTTATAGGCGATAAGAGACATATGGTGCGACGGGAGCAGGGCTCTATAACTCAGGGTTTTGCCCTGGTAGGGAAGGACGGAATGGAATGGACGAACTATACATATCTCACCTTATCGTGGGAGAGTTTCCCAAAAGAGAACGATGAAAGCGGTATCAGATGCGCGTAAGAATCGAGGGAGTAATAAGTTGCACAGTGATTGTCGCAAGACCTCGTCAGAATCGATGAGGCGCCATCCATCGCGTAAGAGAACCCAAAAAAAAAAACATTTTTACACAGCATGACTGCATGACTAACTCGTATTTACCGTAGACTACGGTCGATGACGTATTGCTCACATCAACACGTTGATGTAATCAAAACAAGACTCTTCAAGGAGTCAGCAGAGCAGTCGTCATAGGGTAAGAAGTTTTGAGAGCCTTTGTGGAACGGTGGTCGTTTATCTGAGAAGGTCAAGCATGTAAACGATTAAGTTGAAAACTATGTTGACCATAGTGGTTGAGTTGAGCGTAAGCCAATGCTGCACAATGTCATGATATGGAAGCACTTTGGGGTGGTCTATTGCCTGTGTAAATACAGCTGCCAGGTGACCGTAAGGTTAAAGAGAAATAAGGAACCCTGAAAAAGAGCATCGTGCCATCTTCAAAACCAACTCGTAGTACGCCGTGAAAACATCATGCTACGCAAATTGTTGTATGGGAAAGTTTATGAAACATGGGCCATCGCAACATTTTAACGGCAGCGATACCTTTTAAAGGGACATCATTGATTGAATCGGATTTGCGAGAGAGAGATAAGCGATCTGCCTTTAAAAAGGATCCATAAAAAGGATCCGCCCTAGTGTAGACTAGAAGCTCCGTAGTACATACATCATACCGGTTGATGATCGCATGGAAGCGAAAGTGTGTACCAGTAATATCACAACAATTTACCAACTTTTACAAATCCACCTCCCACAATATGCTGACAATATGCGTGCACATGGCACAGGTTTCTGTATACCAACCAGATTAGGGGTCATATCTTAGTCATTCTCAAGTTTCCGACGGTATCAAAGATGCACGTCCATGTACTGGTTTTGGTAGGGTGAACATAGTGCAAACCGTTCGGCCAAAAGCCTTGTGTGCGATAAACTGAATTGTGGTTGAATTCAAGAACACATGAGCAATAACTTCGAGATATGACACGCCCCTGTGTTATCCTTCCGCATTCGGCGGTATGACTTTATAAGAACAAGTAAGAAGCTTCAGTTAGAGAGGGGCTTGTGGACTTGTCAATCCAAGATATGTATATGTTAAACCTGGCCAAATACGACACGTATTCACTACCCATGGGCTCTTTCATGGGGTGGTGGATACCTCCATACAGGAATGTTCATGGTTATGAGACGAAATGTGAAGGCGGAACAATATGCAATCAGGCCCCTTAGCATGCTATCAAAACGGACCAGAAGATCCCAACAAAAGCGAGTTATAGACTGGGTATGGCTACGCCGATACGCCTGTGTAGTCTCACATATCGTACGTAGAAAAATGTCTACTGACAACTGCCATATATGCAATCCTTGCAAAATTAGAAAACATGCTGGACATCAGAAAATATCGAAAGACTACCAAGGATGGTAGGTGACAAATTCGTGCTAACAAGCGTGGAGAAGAATCTCCCCATTTATACATATAAATATAGGAGCGTCACGTGAATAACAACGATCGCATGACCCTCGCGTACAAGAGACGCAAGTCAGCAACAAAGCTGGCGAAATACCTCCAGCGCCATAGTTTCGAGCAGCGATGCATCTCAGCGATAGGTTAGGAAGTGGTATAACACATTATATTTTAAAAGCAGCCATAAGGATTTAGTGAAGTCCGCCGCGTTGTTTCGGCAACTTCAACGTAATAGTGCTGAATGATAGAAAACAATGGTACTCGAATGTCGGAACAGCGAATAACTGCAGCCACTGGGTGCACCAGTACAGTGGTTTTTTTTGTTTGTTTTTTTTTTCTTTTCTTTTCTTTTTCTGGAGGGCATAGCTCCATTTTCCAGCCTACAGTAAGAGAGCATATGATTGACAGCGAAATCGATGCTACCGTCCAAACGGTGCACGGTCCGTAATAACACAACCGCACGATTTAAATGTATGTACATCTCAACATAGGCAAGAGAAGCTCCATGCAGTGCTTCACGTCCCGTAAAATTGGAAGATACAAATTCAACCTGAATTCAGGCGAAAAGATTGAATAAGGTAAGGTAGCTCTCTCTTATGGTGTATAAATTCAACCTGTTTTTTTTTTTTTTTACATGCTATAAATGATTGGCGTATAAGGTGTACCACCTTGTAAATATAAAAGGCCCCTTATGGTGTGCGGTACTGCACATGTCATGCTGTGTCCCTTGCACATAATTACAACATCTTTAAGGCCATATTTCAAAATGCAATAATCTTTTAGGCCACCAAAAATCTTGACACCAAATGGTGCAGTTACACGAGTAACTGTAAATTGCAACTTATGTTACTTGCAGAACCATATGCAACGCAACCAAAATCGTAGCTGCAGTAGCCTGTGTCCCGCCACACACAGGTGGTGTCACGTGAGCACCATCGCCCCACAGCAGAGGCGCTAGCGAGCAGCATCAGCGCCAGCAGCGGCGATCGCGCAGCAGCAGGAGCAGATCACGACCAGTACAGCAGCAACATTGCAGCAGCAGATCGCGCACACAGCAGCAGCGGCAGATCACGCAGACAGTAGCAGCGGCAGATTGCGCAGGCGCCAAAAGCGGCAGATCGTAGAAACGCCATCAGCAGCGGATAGCACGCACGCCAGCAGTAGCAGATGACGAAATCGCCAGCAGCAGCAGCTCACGAAATCGGCAGCAGCAGCAGATCGCGAAATCGCCAGCAGCAGCAGATCGCGAAATCGCCAGCAGCAGCAGATCGCGAAATCGCCAGCAGCAGCAGATCGCGCATACGCCAGAAGCAACGCGTTGCGCCAGGAGCAGCAGATCGTGCGCGCGGCAGCAACAGCAGATCGCGCCCACGCCATTTGTAGGGGAGTGTGCAGGAGATCGTGCACGAACCAGCAGCAGCAGATCGCCCCCACGCCAACAGCAGCAGATCGGGCACACGCCTGCAGCAGCAGATTGCGCCCATGCCAGCAGCATCAGATCGTGCACGGACCAGCAGTACTAGATCGCGCACGCGCCAACAGCTATCGTAAACACAACGGAGGCAGATTGAGCGCTAGCAACTGCAGCATGTAGCACACTAACAACATCGGGTCGCGTCCCCGCCGCAGCATCATATCGCGCGCCAGAAACCAAAGCGAACGCATCGACCGTGCCACTCCCGAAGTTGCAGCAGTTGCTCCGTTACCATTTTGTGGAACGACATTAGGAAGAGAATAAACGTCGAAGGAGCAGTCGGGAAGTAGCTAGTGGAGGTTGATGGAAACTTAGTAGAGTGTGCTGTTCTAGATTCAGATCTAGAAATGATTTCGACTAGGTGGCAGGTCTGTGGACCTGCCACGAGATAAGGAGCAAATGACTCCTTACTGCATAATCCTTTACAAGTCTTGTCATAATCTTTAAATTTTGAAAATTGTATTTCAAAAATTTTCATGTTTGAAAATGCACGCTACTCGTCGCCGTCGCCTATGTTCACTCCCCTCCGTCGCCCACGCGAACATTCTCGCGTCAATGTCTCACACTTCCCTCCATCGCCATAGCTCACTCCCTCTCATCGCCCTCGCGCACTCCCCTCCCGTCGCCTTCGCGCACTTCCCTCCCGTCGCCTTCGCGCACACCCGTCCCGTCGCCTTCGCGCACTCCCCTCCCATCGTCTTCGCGCACTCCCCTCCCGTCGCCTTCGCGCACTCCCCTCCAAAGAGGATGATCACTCCCTCCCGTCGCCCACGCTTCCTTCCTGACGCACGATCACGCTCCCTCCCCTCCCGTCGCCTTTGCGCGACGCCTCTTTCGCCCCTCCTCACTCTCTTCCATCGCCCACGCTCACTCCCCTCCCGTCGCCCACGCTCACTCCCCTCCCATCGCTCATGCTGACTCCCCTTACGTCATGTACGCGCACACCCATCCGTCACTACTACCGCTCCCTCCCTCCCGTCGCCCACGCTCCCTCCCCTCTAACGAGAATGGGGACTCCCCGCGCCTTGCAACTCTCCTTCCTCCTGCTACGCCACACCCCACACTCTCGTCTCCCCATCCCTCATCTCCCCTTCCCTCGTCTCCCCATCCCTCATCTCCCCTTCCCTCGTCTCCCCATCCCTCATCTCCCCTTCCCTCGTCTCCCTATCCGTCATCTCCCCTTCCCTCGTCTCCCTATCCCTCATCTCCCCTTCCCTCGTCTCCCCATCCCTCGTCTCCCCATCCCTCATCTCCCCATCCCTCATCTCCCCTTCCCTCATCTCTCCATCCCTCGTCTCCCCATGCCTCATCTCCCCATCCCTCACCTCCCCATGCCTCACCTCCTCATCTCTCATCTCCCCATCCCTCATCTCCCCATCCCTCACCTCCCCATGCCTCACCTCCTCATCTCTCATCTCCCCATCCCTCATCTCCCCATCCCTCACCTCCCCATGCCTCACCTCCTCATCTCTCATCTCCCCATCCCTCATCTCCCCATCCCTCACCTCCCCATCTCTCACCTCCCCATCCCTCATCTCCCCATGCCTCACCTCTCCATCGCTCATCCATCCATCCCTCATCTCCCCATGCCTCACCCCATCTCCGCCGCACCCCGTGGCATCGTCACACGTCGCCATTTCCCACCTCTTCCTACTTCCCATCCCCCTCTTCCGCCCTTCCTCCCCCCTTCTCTCAATCCCTTCCTCTCGCCCTGCCATCCTACTTCCCATCCCCCTTTCCTCGTTTCCCCAGACCTCCTTTCCCCATCCCGTCATTCACTCTCCCTCCGTTCCCCATCCTTCCATTCCCCATGCCTACTTTCACCATTCCACCATACCCCATTCACCATACTCCTAACCCCATCTCCTCCTCACCCCATCTCCTCCTATACACATCCGCTTCTTTCCCCTTCCCTCGTCACCGCGTCCCCTCCTCTCCCCATCCCCTCCTCTCACCATCCCCTCTTCTCCCCACCCCCTCCCGTCCTCTCCCCATCCGCCCATCCCACCTCACCACTTCCCTCCTCTTCCCATCCATCCTCTCCTCATCCCTCCCCATCCGTCCTTTCCCCATCCGATCCTCTCACCCTCCCCTCCAGGTGTTTCCCACACCGCCCTCGGCCCAGCGGCACCTCTTCATCCCTTGTGCTTTTCTGCACCAGTGAGCTGCTTGGGGCGCTGTGGGTGGATGGCGGTGGGCAGAGTCACACAGCATAGGCAGACGTGGTGCTGCCTGTCCTCCCTTTCCCCCGTCCTCCCTCCCCATCCATCCTTCCTTTCCTCTGTTCCTCTCTTCCTCCATACGTCCCTTCCTCCGTTTCTCTGTCCCTCTTTTCCCCTGGTCGTCCTTTTGTTTGTCTCCTACCGTTCCAGGAGTGTCTTTTTATTTCTTCCTCTTCGTGTTGCTTCCTTGTCAGTTGTCATTCTTTTGTATGCTTACCGGCTGGAATGTTGGTTGTTTGATAGTACCCCTAGGTATGATACATGGCTGTGGGAATGTTGTATGCTTATTATTATAACTAAATTTTGATACATGGAGTAGAGTGACCATTGACCACCTACGAACCATTGCAACAATCTAGTAAAAAAAGAACCAAGTTACTCAATAATATGTCTTTTCCCACTCTTGTCTGCATACACAGCAGCAAAAAAGCAGGACTTGTGGGTCCCTCCCTACACCTGGTGCTGGGGACCTGTACAGAATGAGCAGGAAAAAACAGAGTGCAGGGGAGACATTGAGCAGGGGGGAAAGAGAGTGAGGAGGGGGGGAGAGAGTGAGAAGGGGGGAAAGGGAGTGAGCAGGGGGAAAGAGGGTGGGCATGGGGGAAGGGAGTGAACAGGGGGGGAACAGAATGAGCAGGGGGAAACAGAATGCGCAAGGGGAAAGAGAATGAGCAGCGGGGAAGAGAATGAGCAATGGGGAAAGAGAGTGAGCAGGGGGAAAGAGAATGAGCAATGGGAAAACCGAGTGAGCAAGGGGGAAACGGAGTGAGGAGGTGAGAAGAGAGAGAGCAAGGGGGGAGAGAGCAGGGGGGAATAGAGCAGGGGGGAATAGAGGAGGGGGGAATAGAGCAGGGGGGAACAGAGCAGGGGGGAATAGAGCAGGGGGGAATAGAGCAGGGGGGAATAGAGGAGGGGGGAATAGAGCAGGGGGGAACAGAGCAGGGGGGAATAGAGCAGGGGGGAATAGAGCAGGGGGGAATAGAGCAGGGGGGAATAGAGGAGGGGGGAATAGAGCAGGGGGGTATTGAGCAGGGGGGAACAGAGCAGGGGGGAATAGAGCAGGGGGGAATATAGCAGGGGGGAACAGAGCAGGGGGGTATTGAGCAGGGGGGAATAGAGCAGGGGGGAATAGAGCAGGGGGGAATAGAGCAAGGGGGAATAGAGCAGGGGGGTATTGAGCAGGGGGAAATAGAGCAGGGGGGAACAGAGCAGGGGGGAATAGAGGAGGGGGGGATAGAGCAGGGGGGAACAGAGCAGGGGGGAATAGAGCAGGGGGGAATATAGCAGGGGGGAACAGAGCAGGGGGGTATTGAGCAGGGGGGAATAGAGCAGGGGGGAATAGAGCAGGGGGGTATTGAGCAGGGGGGAACAGAGCAGGGGGGAATAGAGCAGGGGGGAATATAGCAGGGGGGAACAGAGCAGGGGGGAATAGAGCAGGGGGGAATATAGCAGGGGGGAATAGAGCAAGGGGGAATAGAGCAGGGGGGAATATAGCAGGGGGGAATAGAGCAGGGGGGGAATAGAGCAGGGGGGAATAGAGCAGGGGGGAATAGAGCAGGGGGGAATAGAGCGGGGGGGAATAGAGCAGGGGGGAACAGAACAGGGGGGATTAGAGTGAGGAGGAGAGAGTGAGCAGGGTGGAACAGAGCAGGGGGAATAGAGCAGGGGGGAATAGAGTGAGGAGGAGAGAGTGAGCAGGGGGAAACAGAGTGAGGAAGGGGGGGCAGAGTGAGAAAGGGGGAAGAGAGTGAGCAGAGGGAAAGAGAGTGAGCAGGGGGAATGCGAGTGAGCAGGAGGAAAGCGAGGTCGACGGGAGGGGGAAAGCGAGGGCGACGGGAGGGGGACAGCGAGGGCGACGGGAGGGGGAAAGCGATGGAAACGGGAGGGGGAAAAGCACGGAAGGGGATGGGGGGAAGCAGGGAGGGGGATGGGGGAAAGCAGGGAAGGGGACATGGGGGAGCAGGGAAGGGGATGGGGGCAAGCAGGGAAAGGAACATGGGGAAGCAGGGAAGGGGATGGGGGGAAGCAGGGAAGGGGACATGGGGAAGCAGGGAAGGGGATACGGGGAAAGAATGAAGAGGATGGGGGGAAGCAGGGCAGGGGATGGGGGGAAGCAGGGAAGGGGTATAAGTTGGGGGAAGGAAGGCGATTATTGGAGGGAGGGAAAAGAGGGAGTAGGGAGAGAAAAGGGAGGGTGACAAGTGTGCGAGATGGGAAGGGAGACGGGAGGGAAGGCGAGGGCGACGGGGAGTGGATGGCAGGGCGACGGGGAAAGCGAGGGCGACGGGAAGGGAGGGCGACGGGAAGGGAGGGCGACGGGAAGGGAGGGCGACGGGAAGGGAGGGCGACGGGAAGGGAGGGCGACGGGAACAAGGGTGGGCGACGGACGGAAGGCAGGGCGACGAGGGGGAAAGAAGGGCGACGGGCGGAAGGGAGCGACGGCGGAAGGGAGAGCAACAGTCGGAAGGGATATACTTGACCCTCGACCGTGCGACCGTCTAGATGCGCAACCCGGGTTAGACGCCGGGGGGGTGGATGGAATTGTGACGTGCAGACACGTGTTGGCGTCGCGCGAGTAACTATATCCGGTTGGGTGCGCACCGCACACGCATGTGAGCTCTCTAGTTATTGTATAAATGGGACATCTCCGACTGGTTTTATGATTGGCTGTTCGTATTTGTCACCAAATAGGCTGCTGTACTGATACAGCTGCTACGGAGAAAAGGAGTGATATGGAGAAAGTTTGGGCGTGAAAAACGGGTGAACTAAGTAAACGTAGGCTGTCAATATGCCTGCCATTTAGTACAACATGGTTTTCAGGTTTACTGAAAGTGAACAGTGCTCCATTGCCCTCCGACCCTTTACTCGGAATGACTGGTTTTGTCGCTGGCCAATCATGGAACAACGTCGCAAAACCTCCCCTCTGGATCGCGACGGATATCCTCCACTTCGGGTGGTAACATGGTTTTTTGCGAATTCATATTCAGGAATCTTGAACTTGAAAATTGCCATGTAGAACTCGGGCTTTAACGCAGTTATTCAGCTTGTAAACTTCCCGACGAGTTTCTTGAGTCTGACGCTGCGGTCTGAACTCTGTCACCCACGTCCTTCAAACAGTGATGATGCAAATTTCCCAGTCTGTCATGGCAAGCCATGTCGTGCTTACGTCAGCCCGTGGAGTCGAGCTGTTTCGCAGCTGTATTTGTGTCCTCTTCCACGCCCAGATAAGGACAGTTTGGAGAGTTCGTCGACCAATGAGAATTTTAAAATTTACGTTACCAGCAATTTCGTAGTCGTTTAAAGCTCAAGACCCAAATTGTTCAACCTTAGTAAGGTTGCCCTTGGGGTATCGAGAGAGGAACGTTGACTTTTTTGAAGTTGGGCTCGTCAGTTTCGCCCAGCTTCGCGCTAGGCTTTCGCTGACTCAGCAAACCCCAGGGCAACTCGATTTGGTTGTCGAAGTCCCAAATTGCACTCACAATATTCTTGGTGTTTCATTCTCTCCCATTGGACAAAAAAACTGCTGGCCAATCACACAGCATCGCACTTCTCGTAACCACAATTCGCAACCAAACAACCCCCACAACACCACTCTGATCAACTTTAGTAAGCTTGCCCCGCGCGCTCTGCAATTTGGGCCTTGAGCTTTAAAGCTTAGCTTTTCATATCTATCATAATTACATGCCACGGCGCCCCTTACGCTCCGCACCGCACCGCACCATTTGCAATCTGCACAGTGAACTGCAATCCCCTCCCCTTCCTCCCTCCCTTTGAATCTTGTAAATCCGCACAATCTCACCCCACCACCTCACCTCACTTTTCTCTTCCCTTACCTCAGGCCATTCCTCACAACCACCACCGTTCCAATCCACCACACACTCAAAATCTTCAGCAGCCATTACCCTCAGTACAGGCAGGGAGGCCCCAGGGAGAAGAGCGTTCATAACGAGGTTTTATCTCAACGTGGTGCCACCGCAGGGTGAGCACGTGAGTAAATTGCCCGCAGGTGCCGATAATCGCCACAACGACACAGTAATCGCTAGAATTATGATATCCCGCAAGTCCATCCTCAAGCCTCGACGCAGACTTCATGTTACTGTTCATCAGACTTTCGTACAGTGCTACACTGTGCTCTTAGATCTTGGCTGAGTCAACCAGGTGCCGGCATGAGGTGCTGGCTGCCAGGCTGGCGCTCGCCTGGAAAGGGACGGGCGGACGGGAAGCGGACAAAAGGACTGCCATGCCGTCGAGCCGCGATGAAGCAAGCTCCATGTCGAGGGTGCTTCGGCTCCGGGTCTTAAATGATGAGCACACCAACTCATTCCTTCCAAACGTCAGGTTCGTGATAACTCTCTCATCGCGTACATTCGCAGCCACCCGCGAAATTTGAGTCGACGGAGTACTCGCGATTCATTTGCGCAAGTTCCCAGCCAACAGCGTTCGGCTCTCGCTTTCAGTCGAGAGTGCTTCAGCGTCAAGCTAGTAGAATCGCTGTTCGCCACCGACAGAAGAAGCTAGCATTGTCTCATTTTCAAGGGAAGTTTTCGAGTCGGCCCGCTTTCAGTGCTCGAGCTTCTCTTTACTGAAATTGAAGTCATTAAAATGGATGTGCGCTGCACAATATGCTCTCCACGGATCTGCGGCGGGATCGTCAGCCTCGCGATTGCCATACTCGTTATACACTCACAGCTTTCCTTCATCGCCGTCGGATCAAATCTCCCCCCCGGCGGCTGCGACACGTGCCGCCAGCTGCGCGGGCTGGAAGATGCGGGGGTGAACGCGCGCAGCCTGCACCGGCACGCGGCGCTCGTCGGCAACTTCAAGGGGCTCTTCCTCAGCCAGCGCGGCAAGTTCAAGAACCACGCCAGAGGATCCGGCCCCGTCAATCTCGAGGTTTTCCAGGTGCGTAAAATCACTGTGGTTTTTCACAGACGTGACGTCTCGGTCTCTCGCGTTGCTTAACGTTTGCAGCTGAATCATGTGTATGTTTAGTTAATTAATCACGCCTAATACGGAATGTTAATGTGTGCGTATGTCGTTTGTTTGTCCAGGAAGTTGGTAACCACGTGGCTGTCGTCGACGGCGAAGCTGGCGATACCCTTGAAAAGTGCTGCGCTGCATGCAAGCGAACAGCCGGCTGCTACCAATACCACTTCTTCCGCAGGTGAGCTTCGATCTTGAATTCTCACTCAGCAGATTCAATTCGCGCCGAGTGCGCACTTCCGTGCACTTCTGCTCGTACTACCCCCATTGCCTCCGACATTTGTCTCTTCCCGTTTATCGGCGCGCTTCTCAACCGCCGCTTTCCCAATTCTTCATGTTGCACGTCTCAATCTTCCACACTCCCTACACTCTTTCCCGACTCTTCCTGTTACAGCAACCGGCTGCGCGACAACGTAAATGTCCGCGGCTTCATGAGCGGCGTGCAGTGCTACCTGCTCGCGAAAGACAGCGGCGCGGGTCACTCTGGCGAGTACCGGACACCTCTTAGCGGGGATGTCAAGGAGCAGCGCTCCATGTCGCCGTATTTCCCGCTTAGCTGGCTCGGTGGGCTGTGCGACGGAAGCCGCGCAACAGCAACGCCTGGCGTGTCCGCTGCCGCTGGTAATGATTCTACAGGCGCACTGCCGCTTGCAACATCGTCAGCACGGCGCCTTGGAAAACCATCACGGGCGGCGTCTGCTGTGCTTCGGCGGAGAGCAGAGCGACCGCCGCCGCTGACCCCTCAAGGCCTGCTGAACGCGTCTTTCTGCCTCGTTTCCGACCGTAGATTGCACATCAACATCAAGCTCCGTGAATCTCCACCGCAGGCTGCTGGTGCTGACCTGGCGGAGGTGTCCAGTGATGTGGCGTACGCTGCAGCCCCGACATCCAACCCTGCCTTTGCCCAGATGTCTACAGCAGCTGCTGCCGATGCTGCTGCTGCTGCCAGGAAGGAAGCTGAAACGAGAGCAACAGCAGCTGTTGTAAGGGCTGCTCTTGCAAGCACTAGCGATGAAGTGAGTGGTGTAGTGGAAGGAGGAGAGGGCGATAGGGAGGGAGCACAGGCAGCTATCCGGGAGATTGGGTTTGTGTGGGTGGCCGATGGGCTGCATTCCCTTCGCATGGCCGTAACACCCAAGGTAAACGCTGAGAACAGCAGGAATATCGCAGATACTGCTGACAGTTTGTTGTCCCTTCTGGAGCTGGATGGCGTGCCGCTGTCGGCCCCAAAAGCAGTGGGAGATCGGGTGACTGGATCAGGAGGGTTGGTACTTAGCAAAGTGGCAGAGGAGAGTGAGTGGCCTGTGAACATGGTGAAGTACAGAGTGGAGATTCAGGGGCTGATGGTGGTGGAAGTACGCGCAAGCATCGTGCGAGGCGAAGGGGATGCGGGTGAAGGGCACCTATCTGTGAAGCTGATGAAGGTGAAGGTGTCTCCCACGGTCAATGGACTTCTGGGTAGCGCAATCCGTGCATCGTCTAAGCTGGAGCTGACAGTCACCCCATTTTACACATCCTTGAACCTCGAAGACCGGAATGGAGAGACTAGCCTTAGTGGCCCTCTTGCCGACTATGTCTCTACAACAGCAGTTTCAGCCGACTGCAAATTCTCAACATTCGGGGTGGTTGCCTGAAGGTCACTGGATAAGAGGGTAAAGTGTTAGATAGGACATATTCCTTAATTATTTAATGTAAATAATATATAGTCACCAAAATGTCACATCATACATACTCGTTCGTAAGGACATTTCACTTTACGTACCGAACCGACTTCATGTTTGTAGCAGGTCACCGGGTAAAATATGAGAAGCGACAGGCGAAGCACGGTATATCGCTGCTTTGGGTACGAAACGCATTTCCGCGTGAATGTTACAGATTCACCATGCGAACAATGTCGCCATCTGGTGTAGCGCACAGGGGATTGGGCATCGATATTCTTCGTCATGTTCGCTTGCCCCTCCCAGCCATAGGCGAAGAAACTCTTAGTCCCCACCACACATCAGTTGTGGAGGAGATCCCAAGGAATTTGGGTCTCCCCAGGAACTACACGACTGGAGATTTTACGAAAAGCACGGATAGTCGTTGCTCAATACTTACTTCCACCGTATCCTATGCCTCTGACAGTGTCAGGGAAGCAGCAGCGTCGTCGGGAGTAAGCCAAGGTTCATTAGCTTCTCCGGCTGTTTTTGTCCTTGCGCTCAGTTGCTGCGCTGCCAGATATGGCCCTTGCGGCTCGCCTATCATCCTCCAGCATCGTAGCTGTTTCGACTACACTCCCAGCTGCTGCCGGATCAGCTGGATCGGCGCGTTCCGCAAATCTTCTCGCATCCTCGCGCGCTGATTGGTCGCACGGCCTTAGCCTCCGATCGTTGCCGTCAGTCGCTGCTAACGTGTCAAGAAGTCGAAGCAGCGTCAGCTCGATCAAGTGTATGGCGGAGGCGTCGCAAACGACTGGTTCGTGCTTCCGTACTGTAGAATGCAGGATGCTTATATGAATGCGCAACTTTCCTAATATCACCTTCGCTGGCGTCGTTGCTGCATTGCGGGACAGCAGGGAATGTTACCAATATCTCGGGTTACTAAGAGTTAGGGTTAACGCACGGCGCGCGAATGTTTGATATAGCAAGCGTGACGTGCCTGACGTTTTTTCATTACTCGAAGGGCCCTGCTTTCGAGCTTCAGACTCACCACAAGGCTTCTCTCTGCACGACTGCTCTCAGAAACTCCCTCGCATGTTAGTTCTTACGCTCAACTTCTTTTGAAATCTCGCACCCTCCCTTTTCCCCCTTTCCCCCCTCTCTTCCCCCTCTTCCCGCTTCCCAGCAGCCGCTGCGGTCTCGTCGCCAGCCACTGGCCTCCGCGTTTTCCGGCTCGCTGACCTGGCAGAGGATGACGTGGCGCAGCTGCTCACCAGGCCGCGCATAGACTTCACCTCCATCTTCAGCACCGTAGGAACCTTCCCCCGTGGCTTCCTGTCTGTAAAGTCCTCCATCCTCCTCGCAATTCGCCTTCCATCCTCAATCCGCCAATTCCCTACCCCCCCCCACCTCAACCACCCCTCCAATCCCCTACTCCCGGAGCCACTAACTTTCCGGCTCTCCCCGTTCCCCCACAGCCATGGCTCATTCCACTCTCTGTCGCTCTCCCGTTTTCCTTCCTCTACAGGTGGGCCCGATTGTGGAGGATGTGAGGCAACGAGGTGATGAGGCTGTTAAAGAGTACGTACTGTAGCTCGCCACTCGATGGCAATTTCTGCTGGCTCCTGTTCCCCCAAATCAATAAGATATATCTCCCCGCGTCCCCCCCACCCACCCATCTTCCCACCCTATTCCCGACCACCTTTCCCTCCCCCGTCTCACCACTTCCAACGCTTAGTTTAACTTTGTCTGAAGTTCGCAGATTCCCAGACCCTTCTGTCGTTCTCCACCCCTCCCCATCTTGCTAATCCGCGACACACCACCCATCTCCCTCTCTTCCCCCCACTCTACCCACTACCCCGCGTCCACCAATCAGGTACACGGAGAGGTTTGACCGAGTCAAACTGGATGACGTGGTGGTCAGAGTGGCAGAATTGCCTGATCCTGAGGTAAGCATTGCAGTTCCCCCTCCCCCTGCTCCCAAGTCCACCCCCATTTCTTTGACCGAGTCAAACTGGAAGTCGTGGTGGTCAGAGTGGCAGAATTGCCTGATCCTGAGGTAAGCATTGCATGAATGTGGACAGTGGCCCTGAGGTCAAACGTCATAGGTTCCCCGCTCCGCAGCTTGCCCACCCCCCTTTAGTCCCCCTCCACTTCCTCACACTCCCCCGGCCGTTTCCTCGCCTGTTTCTCTCTTGCCCCACTTCCAGCACTTACGCTACAGCTTTTCACATCCACCTACTTTTTTTGTTCTTCCTGAAAACAGCCTCTTGACACCACCTTTTTCTGATCCCAATCCATCCTCTTGATTCCACCCTATTCCCCCCACCCACACTTCACGTTCATTCCCCTCCATTCCCGCGCCCTCAGCTGCCTGCTGACGTGGCAGCAGCGTTTGACGTGGCGTTCAGCAACATCCACAAGTTCCACCTGGCACAGATGCCGTCCAGCTCATTCCAAGTGGAGACCATGCCGGTGAGAAGGGGGGGCGAGATAGGAGAACAGAGTGGATCCAAGGGGGGGGAGGAGGGGAAAAGAGGGTGAGAGAGAGAGGAAAGGTCTGAGTTGGCTCATATAGTTCCACCTGGCACAGATGCCGTCCAGCTCATTCCAAGTGGAGACCATGCAGTCACAGTTGTCACGCGAGCAGGAAATGTGAAATATGAAGTAAAGAACCTTTTCTTTCCCATACCTCTCCTACCCCTCCTCCTATCAATCGGCAGGGCGTGGTGTGTGGGCGAGTGGCGAGGCCCATAGAGCGGGTGGGGCTGTATGTGCCCGGGGGTACCGCTGTGCTGCCGTCCACTGCTCTCATGCTCGCTGTGGTGAGTGCAGGGGAGGGAGTAAGCAATTGAGAGGAGAAGTAAGTGTGTGAGTATGACGCCGCCCGACTCATTTGAGCTCTACTGCACCGCCCGTCACAGCCGGCAGGCACAGCCGTTCTCACTTGCTCTGACGGGCTGCATCATAGCCGTCCGTTCCTTGCAGTCTGTCCTCTGACCGTTCATAGCAGGCTGCATCGTTGGTGTTTACTCATTTTTGAGACGCCTCAAAAGCTTTTGAGGCGACTTTTGAGGCGCCTCAAAAGACGGGCTGCATCATAGCCGTCCGTTCCTTGCAGCCCGTCCTCTGACCGTTCATAGCAGGCTGCATCGTTGGTGTTTACTCAAGGCTACTGATTCCTTTCGTTGCCATCCCTCCTCACTACATGCCTCCGCCCCTCATTCCACTTCTCCTTCTTCCTCCCCAGCCGGCAGGCATAGCAGGCTGCACCACTGTGGTGGTCGCCACTCCCCCAACCCCTCTAGCTTCGCTCCATCTCTCTGTCGCATCCAACCCCCCTTGCTCTTGCCGCTCGATCCATCGCCCCCCCACTCCACCTCCCAGCCGGCAGGCATAGCAGGCTGCACCACTGTGGTGGTCGCCACTCCTCCCCGCCCGGATGGTTCAATCTGCCCGGTACGTTTCTTTCCTGCCCATTGATTCATCGTATTAATGTAATTTCTGCTCTCACGCGCACTCTCTTAACTATGTAGCGCTCTGCACCCTGCATCACCCATGAGGGGGGTGGTGTTTTCCTCACCCCCCCTTCGCCACACCCCAGGAGGTGTTGTACACTCCAGGAGCGACTGTTCACTGCAAGACGGCCGGCATTACTCGCATTCCTACATTTAGCTTACACATGCTCACTCACACTCTCATCCTCTTCTTGCACTCTCCTCCTTGTCCCATCTTATAATCCAGGAGGTGCTCTACTGCTGCAAGAAGGCCGGCGCCACTCACATTCTCAAGGCGGGAGGGGCCCAGGTGAGTGCGAGATCCAGACATAGCTCAGTGAGCTGCGTGCGTGCAGTAGGCTTAAAGCAAAGGAAAAACAGCAGTAGATTTCTGCTCTGTGTAAGGCGGGAGGGGCTCAGGTGAGTGCGAGATCCAGACATAGCTCAGTGAGCTGCGTGCGTGCAGTAGGCTTAAAGCAAAGGAAAAACAGCAGTAGATTTCTGCTCTGTGTAAGGCGGGAGGGGCTCAGGTGAGTGCGAGATCCAGACATAGCTCAGTGAGCTGCGTGCGGGCAGTAGGCTTAAAGCAAAGGAAAAACAGCAGTAGATTTCCGCTCTGTGTAAGGCGGGAGGGGCCCAGGTGAGTGCGTGTGTGTGCTTGTAACGCGATGAGTTAGTCCGGGGACGGGGAGAGGGAGGACTACTGATGGGCGAGAGGGGAGAGGGAGAGGGAGAGGAAGAGGAAGAAGCTTCGTCCGTTGCTTCTTACCCTCGAGTTCTGTTTTCACCCTTTTTCCGCGCCGCTCAACTTTCTGACATTGGTGATCTTCTTAGTCAATTTAACAGTCGCTCAGGTCTTCCTTCCTTCCCACGCCTTCCCATGCTCACTCACATGGTGCAGGCTGTTGAAGCTATGGCATGGGGCACAGCCACCTGCTGAGTACTAAGAACACCCTCCCTTTCCCCCCCTCCCCACCTTTCCGCCCCCCCACCTTGCCACTGTCGTTCGTTCCCATGGTGCATGCAGGCTGTTGCAGCTATGGCATGGGGCACAGCCACCTGTCCCAAGGTAAGCCATTCACTCCAGCCGTGCCTGTGCCCTGTCACTGCCACCATGCCTGTGCCCTGTCACTGCCACCATGCCTGTGCCCTGTCACTGCCACCATGCCTGTGCCCTGTCACTGCCACCATGCCTGTGCCCTGTCACTGCCACCATGCCTGTGCCCTGTCACTGCCACCATGCCTGTGCCCTGTCACTGCCACCATGCCTGTGCCCTGTCACTGCCACCATGCCTGTGCCATGTCACTGCCACCATGCCTGTGCCATGTCACTGCCACCATGCCTGTGCCCTGTCACTGCCACCATGCCTGTGCCATGTCACTGCCACCATGCCTGTGCCCTGTCACTGCCACCATGCCTGTGCCATGTCACTGCCACCATGCCTGTGCCATGTCACTGCCACCATGCCTGTGCCCTGTCACTGCCACCATGCCTGTGCCATGTCACTGCCACCATGCCTGTGCCATGTCACTGCCACCATGCCTGTGCCATGTCACTGCCACCATGCCTGTGCCATGTCACTGCCACCATGCCTGTGCCATGTCACTGCCACCATGCCTGGCGCCCTGCCCAAAATCGTGCTTGGGGTTACAGAAACACCCAATTGCCTCAGGCGCTTGGGGCTGTGGCATCCCTCCGTCCCATTCAACATGCTCCTCTCCTCCCCTTTCCCCGGCATCCCCCATACCGCCTGGTCAGTGGTCGTGAGGGCTCGTCTCCTCATGCCCAGTATATGACAGCAGCAGCCATGCTCACGGCTCACGGCTCTCTCCTTTATCGACCCTTGTCCCATCACCACCCAACACCACCCATCACCACTCATCATCGCTCACCACCACGCAGATGGACAAGATATTTGGCCCCGGCAACCAGTACGTGACAGCAGCAAGCCTTGCTGCTCTCTCTCTCTCATGCCTCTCCCTTCTCCACCCTTGCCCCATCACCACCCATCACCGCCCACTCACCACCACTCATCACCGCTCACCACCACTCATCACCGCTCACCACTACGCAGGTGGACAAGATCTTTGGCCCCGGCAACCAGTACGTGACAGCAGCAAAGATGGAATCGTGCTTATGCCTCCCCTTTGTCCACCCTTGTCCCACAACCACCCATCACCACTCATCACCCCTCATTACCTCACAGGTGGACAAGATCTTTGGCCCGGGCAACCAGTACGTGACAGCAGCCAAGATGGCGCTGCAGACCAGCGAGGCCATGGTGTCAATTGACATGCCTGCCGGGCCCTCTGAAGTGCTCGTGATTGCCGACGAGACGGCTTCTCCTTCCCACGTCGCTGCCGACCTGCTCTCCCAGGTGAGCTGTTTCTCTCCCTATCTCACAAGATGGCGCTGCAGACCAGCGAGGCCATGGTGTCAATTGACATGCCCGCTGGGCCCTCTGAAGTACTTGTCATCGCGGACGAGACTGCCAGCCCAGCCCACGTCGCTGCTGACCTGCTCTCCCAGGTAAGGCGTGAGCTGCCGTTCTGCCCTCCCAAGCGAGCCCTTTGACCCAAGAAGCTGCAGACCAGCGGGGCCATGGTCTCTATCGACATGCCTGCCGGGCCCTCTGAAGTCCTTGTCATTGCAGACGAGACGGCTTCTCCTTCCCACGTTGCTGCAGACCTGCTGTCTCAGGTGAGCTGTCTCTCCAATGCTCTCTCTCCCTCTCAGCTCTGAGCCAATATGGCGCTGCAGACCAGCGAGGCCATGGTCTCAATCGACATGCCGCCCTCTGAAGTGCTCGTCATTGCGCACGAGACTGCCAGCCCCGCTCATGTTGCTGCCGACCTGCTCCCCAGGACCGTAGTTCTGCTGTCCCAGGTGAGCCGTCTGCTGGCAAACGAGTGAGGCAATGGTTTTAATCGACATGCCTGCTGGGCCCTCGGAAATACTTGTGATCGCTGATGAGACTGCCAGCCCGGCGGATGTTGCTGCTGACCTGCTCTCCCAGGTGAGCTGGATGATGCGTCGCAGGTGAGCCGCCTCTCAGGTGCTCTCTCCCTAGCTCGCAAGATGGCGCTGCAGACGAGCGAGGGCATGGTGGCAATCGACATGCCTGCTCGGCCCACTGACGTGCTCGTTATTGCAGATGAAACTGCGAGTCCAGCGGATATTGCTGCCGACCTACTTTTCCAGCACTTGTGTGTGTCCAGTCCGGTTCACTCAGCTCAGGCGTGTTATTCCAGTCAGGTCTCACCCTCCCGTCTCACCCTCTTCCTTCCTACCCTTCCCCTCCCATCAGGCGGAGCATGGCCCGGACAGTCAGGTGGTGCTGGTGGCGGTGGGCGACGGGGAACCAACTGCTATTATTCTTCCAATCATCCCTCCTCTCCATCTCTATCTCCCCTCCTCCTCCCATCAGGCGGAGCACGGGCCAGACAGTCAGGTGGTGCTGGTGGCGGTGGGCGAGGGGGTGGATCTGGCAGCCATTGAAGCAGAGGTGGAGCGCCAGTGGGAGGAGCTGCCAGTTTTCCTTATCAATTTTCCTTGCTGCCATCCCCCATCCCTCCCACTGGCAGGCGGAGCACGGCCCGGACAGCCAGGTGGTGCTGGTGGCGGTGGGCGAGGGGGTGGAGCGGCAGCGGGGGGAGGAAGAAGCTGCCTGCCCTCCCGTCTCACTCTCTTGCTTCCCCCTCTCCCCCTCCCATCATCAGGCGGAGCACGGGCCAGACAGTCAGGTGGTGCTGGTGGCGGTGGGCGAGGGGGTGAATCTGGCAGCCATTGAGGCCGAGGTGGAGCGCCAAAGGGGGGAGTTGCCTCGAGGGGACGTTGCTGCCAAGGCACTGAGCCACTCTTATGTGGTGGTGGCTGCTGATATCAACGAGGTATGTACGGTGCAGGTTGTGAGGGTGATTAAGGTGTTTAACTCTGAGTCAATAGGTTCAAATGCGAGGTGGTGTTGCTGCCAAAGCGCTGAGCCACTCTTACGTTGTCGTGACAGCTGATATCAACGAGGTGAGGTGCGGGTTGTGGGGGTTATTGAGGCGTCGTATAGCCTAACAGAACAGTTTAAAGGAGCTGCTGTTGTGATGCACTCCTCACCAAGTGTCCGCACTGCTCTTCATCTGCCCCCCCATCCCACCAGGCGTGTCTCTTCTCCAACCGCTACGCCCCCGAGCATCTCATCATCAACGCTGCACAGGCTGTCGATTGCCTGCCCCTCATCCGCAACGCTGGTGGGCATCCTTCCCCTTGCCCTTGTCTTTTTTCTGCTTCGCTTCAACTGAACCCGGGGTTAGGAGAGAGAGAGAGAGATGGGCTCAGGTATGGTGGCTAGAAAAGGGTGGGTTGAAAACTGTGGGTAGAAACCCATCGATGGAGGCTTGTCCCTCGACTTGTTGTGGTTGTGGATCACAGAGAGCATTTGCAACTATGCCCCAACCTACCACCCCACCTCGTCCACGTTTTCCCCAGGTTATGCCTTCCCAGGTCCCTGGACCCTGGAGAGTGTGGGAGACTACGCCAGTGGCACCAACCACGTGCTGCCCACTTACGGCTACGTGCGCATGTACTGGGGCGTGTCAACCACATGCTCTCAGCCTCCTCTCAACACCATCCCCTTTCCAATCCCCTATCGCCAGTACCTCCCCTTTCTGTTCAAAATTCCCCACCTTTGACCCTACTCCCAGGATCTGTCTTCCTAGGTCCATGGACCCCTGAGAGTGTGGGAGACTACGCCAGCGGCACCAACCACGTGCTGCCCACCCCCTCTCAGCACCATCCCCATCTCACTCTCCCATCCCCTTCCCCCCTGCTACTACAGGATCCGTCTTCCTGGGTCCGTGGACCCCTGAGAGTGTGGGAGACTATGCCAGCGGCACCAACCACATGCTGCCCACCCCCTCTCAACACTCTCCCATTCCCCATCCTCCACACCTCCGCTTTCTTTTTTACCCCTCAGGGTCTGTCTTCCTGGGTCCATGGACCCCAGAGAGTGTGGGAGACTACGCCAGTGGCACCAACCACGTGCTGCCCACTTACGGCTACGCGCGCATGTACGGCGGTGTCTCGCTCGACGCCTTTTTCAAGCACATCACCGTGCAGTCGCTCTCCGCCTCGGGCCTGCAGCTGCTGGGTCCCTCTGTGGCTAAGATGGCCGAGGTTGAAGGGCTCGAGGCGCACAGGCGTGCGGTTACCCTACGGCTAGCGGATATCGAGGCTGCTTCCCAGTGATAAGACTCCGTTATAGTAGGCCTGGGTTGAATAGCCAGAAAATAGAATCGTGTGCTTAGCTTCGTGCTTTTCAAGCATCAGATCAGATGTGCATCTTGAAGGTTGAAGGTTCGGGGAAAAATGGCCCAGGGTTGAAGTGAAGGGCCAGCAACAAGCACATCACCATGCAGTCTCTCTCCGCCTCGGGCCAGCAGCTGCTGGGCCCCTCTGTGGCCAAGATGGCCGAGGTTGAGGGGCTCGAGGCGCACAGGCGTGCGGTTACCCTATGGCTAGCTGACGAGGCTGCTTCTCAGTGAAAACTTCATGCATTCGAGTGAAAGGTTGTGTTTGCTGTATGCTGAACGCTATAGTGACTGGCAGGTTCAAGGCTAGGGAAAAAATGGTCCATGTAGAAAGGTCAGCAGCATCAAGCACAACACCATGAAAAAACAATACTACTGTCTCTTCAACTCCTCCCTCCACTGCACAACCACACATAAACTCTTTGTCTCGGGCCTCTAGTTGCTGTAGAACCCATTTTTGGCCAGGATCCCTTGAGGAGGAGGGGGCCTTCTAGTTACCAGAGGCACTGCACACCGCCATCTGTGCTTGCTGTTCCTCTGATTTGTCCAACTGACAGTTGTTCTAGCTAGTAATGACTACTATACTTCATGCCAGATGTTCTTTGCATGCGCCCTGGTACGAATCAGGTGTGTTTTTGCATGCTATAACCTACAATGCACCATATAAAATTCCGTCATAATGATCCAATTGAATGTGCACTATCTAGAATCCAAATAAATGTCTATATTTACTGAAAGTTCAATCTGAACATCTAGATTAAGATTAACTATTGAAAATCCAAATTATATATTTATTGATTGTACGAGTGTACTACCCATGCACTGTAGGTGTGCATGGGGGGTTCCTCTTGGCCGCCAGGAGCAAGCTCCCAACGTTACACCCAAGCACCGCGGTGAGGTGGGAACCATCGCTCGGGACCCTGTTGGGGGGGAGACAGAACACAAAAGGACACTGGATGCTGCCCAGGGGCAGGTGAGAATTAATATGTGACTCTGTTGGAGGGGGAGACAGAACACAAAAGGATACTGGATACTGCCCAGGGGCAGGTGAAAATGAATATGTGACTCTGTTGGGGGGGGGAGACAGAACACAAACGGATACTGGATAGTGCCCAGGGGCAGGTGAAAATTAATGTGACTCTGTTGGAGGGGGAGACAGAACACAAAAGGAAACTGGATACTGCCCAGGGGCAGGTGAAAATGAATATGTGACTCTGTTTGGGGGGGGGGAGACAGAACACAAACGGATACTGGATAGTGCCCAGGGGCAGGTGAAAATTATTATGAGACCCTGTTGGGGGGGGAGACAGAACACAAAAGGATACTAGGTGGAAATTATTATGTGACCCTGTTGGGGGGGGAGACAGAACACAAAAGGATAGGCAGGTGGAAATAAATATGTGACCCTGTTGGGGGGGGAGAGAGAACACAGAGCAAACTGCAGTGAAGAGGGAGAGTTTTGGGAGTGAGTTTCGAGACGTCTCTCGAAACTCACAAGAGAGAACAGAACTGCCACCGGCAGTTCACAACTGGATTTGAGGCGCCTCAAACCAGCAAACGAGGTCCTACTCTGCTTCCCTGCAACCTGTGTTCCCTGCAACCTGCTTCACCCCCTGTTCTGCTTCGCTGCAACCTGTGTTCCCTGCAACCTGCTTCACCCCCTGTTCTGCTTCGCTGCAACCTGTGTTCCCTGCAACCTGCTTCACCCCCTGTTCTGCTTTGCTGCAACCTGTGTTCCCTGCAACCTGCTTCACCCCCTGTTCTGCTTCGCTGCAACCTGTGTTCCCTGCAACCTGCTTCACCCCCTGTTCTGCTTCGCTGCAACCTGTGTTCCCTGCAACCTGTGTTCCCTGCAATCTGCTTCACACCCTGTTCTGCTTCGCTGCAACCTGTGTTCCCTGCAACCTGCTTCACCCCCTGTTCTGCTTCCCTGCAACCTGTGTTCCCTGCAACCTGTGTTCCCTGCAACCTGTGTTCCCTGCAACCTGCTTCACCCCCTGTTCTGCTTCCCTGCAACCTGTGTTCCCTGCAACCTGTGTTCCTTGCAATCTGCTTCACCAGCAAACGAAGTCCTCTGGAGTAGGACACGGGGAGGGTGGCCAGTCGCCTTCACTGCTTCTCTTATGCTGACACCGCTGGTGCCACTGCTTGTATTCCCTTCTGCTGCCACTGCGGGCCTCTCTTCTGCTCCCACTGCTGCTGCCACCGCTGCTGTCACTGCTGCTGCCACAGCTGCTGTCACAGCTACTGCCACTCCTGGCCTTCTCTTGTGCTCGCCGTCCCATCACTTCACAGCACCAGCAGCAGCACGCGGGAGGGAGGTAGGAGGGAGGGAGGTAGCAGCTTCTTCATTCCCTTCACGGCTGCTTCATCCCCTTCACAGCTGCTTCATCCCCTTCACAGCTGCTTTATCCCCTTCACAGCTGCTTCATCCCCTTCACAGCTGCTTCATCCCCTTCACAGCTGCTTCATCCCCTTCACAGCTGCTTCATCCCCTTCACAGCTGCTTCATCCCCTTCACAGCTGCTTCATCCCCTTCAAAGCTGCTTCATCCCCTTCACAGCTGCTTCATCCCCTTCACAGCTGCTTCATCCCCTTCACAGCAGCTTCATCCCCTTCACAGCTGCTTCAACCCCTTCACAGCAGCTTCATCCCCTTCACAGCTGGCTCATCCCCTTCACAGCTGCTTCATCCCCTTCACAACTGCTTCATCCCCTTCACAGCTTCTTTCATCTCCTTAACAGCAGCTTCATCCCCTTCACAGCAGCTTCATCCCCTTCACAGCTGCTTCGTCCCCTTCACAGCCGCTCATGGCAGTCCACCCATCTCCTCTGCTCGCCTGTACCAGCCGTCTGCTCTGCTCGCCTGTAGCAGCCGCCTGCTCTGCATCTCCACTGCTGATCCGTCTCGTCTGCTGCTCCCTCGCCTCTGCGTCCTTCTGTGGAATGGGAGGAGAATAAATCAGGGAAGATGAGTGCAATGCAAGGCAGTGACTGTCCCCAGTGCCTTGAAAGAAAGAACTCAGAGCAAATGCAAAACCAAGGCAACGACATTCAAACAAACAAAACAACTCAAGTGCAAAGAGAATCACCGTCGGCAGTGAATAGTTATCCACCACCGTGCTCCTTTGCTCTTTGCGCTTCAATGCAGCACCACTCCCCCTCCAGTGAAGCACCACTGTTGCTGCCACTGCTGGTGTCACTGTTGGTGTCACTGCTGGTGTCACTGCTGGCCTTCTCTTTCTGCTCGCACTGTTGCTACCACCGGTAGTGTCACCGCATGCCTCTCCCCTACTCCCACCGCTGGTGTCACTGCGGGTGCCACCTCCAATGCAGCAGCAGCAGCACCACCTCGCAACGCAGCAGCAGCACCACTCCCCCTTCAGCAGCAGCGCCACTCCACCACTTCACAGCACCAGCAGCAGCACATGGGAGGGAGGTAGGAGTGAGGCAGCACAAGGCAGCTAAAGGTGGGTACAGCTTGCACCTTGCTGCTGCCAACTCTCGCCCCTTCTCTGCTCCTCTGCTCTATTCACCTGCTCATCACCTCTCCTGCAGTGGCCTTCTCTTCTGCACACGGGAGGGAGGCAGCATCATTTTCTCCCTCTGCTGCTCCTCTGCTCCTCTGCAGTAGCACACGGGAAGGGTGGCCTTCTCTTCTGCTGACTCTGCTGCTGCCACTGCTGCAACCACTGCTTGCATTCCCTTCTGCTGCCTCGGCTGCTGAAACCAGTATGTCACTGCGGGCCTCTCTTCTGCTCGCTGTCCCATCACTTCACAGCACCAGCAGCAGCACGTGAGAGGGAGGTAGGATCGAGGAAGGTAGCAGCTGCCGTCCCATCACTTCACCCCCTCCAGTGCAACACCACTCCACCACTTCACAGCACCAGCAGCAGCACATGCGAAGGAGGTAGGAACGAGGCAGCTAAAGGTAGGTACAGCGCGCACTTGCTGCTGCCAACTCTAGCCCCTTCTCTGCTCCTCTGCTCTATTCGCCTGCTCATCACCTCTCCTGCAGTGGACTTCTCTTCTGCACACGGGAGGGAGGCAGCATCATTTTCTCCCTCTGCTGCTACTCTGCTCCTCTGCTGCTAAAACCAGTAACGTCACTGCGGGCCTCTCTTCTGCTCCTACTGCTGCTGCCACTGGTGGCCTTTTCTTCTGCTCGCCGTCCCATCACTTCACAGCACCAGCAGCAGCACGCGAGAGGGAGTAACAGCTCGCAGCTTGCTGGTGTCGATTTCACAGCCGTGCCTGTGTGCCTTCTCCCCTCCATGCCTTCTCCCCTCCATGCCTTCTCCCCTCCATGCCTTCTCCCCTCCATGCCTTCTCCCCTCCATGCCTTCTCCCCTCCATGCCTTCTCCCCTTCCATGCCTTCTTCCCTCCAGCAGCGTCGGGGGGAATCGCAGCTGCGCGGTTCTCTGCTCCTTTGGCCTTTAATTGACCATCATTGTCAAGGTAGGCATGAAGCTTGGATCGTCTATTCGCCTGCTCATCACCTCTCCTGCAGTGGCCTCCTCTCCCAGCAGGTAGGCATGAAGCTTGGATCGGTTCTTGTGTTCCGAGCCTTAATTTGATGCGCTGTCGCCGTGAACATTAGCCTCGTAAAATCTTATTCTACCTACTACGTCATCAGATCTAACAGATAACATCTCTTGTAATGTGAAAGCAGTTCCAAAAGCTTGAAATGTCAAGCATTCCATCTCTCTTGGTCTTTGACCATCACAATGGGACTTACCACCAAGAGGATGCTGTGTAACTAAGCTATCGGCCGTTATAGCTTAGTTACACAGCAACCTCATGGTGGTAAGTCTCATTCTCGTGGTCAAAGGTTTGAGGAGATGGAATGCTGGGCATTACAAGCTTATGGAGTTTCTTGCGCATAAAAAGAGATGTTAACGGTAAAATCTGATGACGTAGCAGGTTGAATCTGAATTT